TAAAAAACAAACAAAAAAATCCCCCAAACCTGGCAGATGTTGCATATGATGAGAGATGTGTTGGCTGTGTATTGCAGTTCTTCAGATTCAGGAGCTGCTCTGAATCCCATCACTGAAATCTATTTTCTGTTTTCTGACAGCTGTTTTTGCCATTTACTTTAAAAGCAGATGGGGAAAATGCAAAGAAGAGCTGTCAATTTTATTACCATGTATAATCAGCATCTGTGCAATACATCAGACTCATTGCACAGCTTACACTTTCTTCTCTGTAGTAAAAATTCTTTTGGGATTTCTTGACAAGCTTCTTGCAGACTTTCTTGTAAATGAGTAGATGCTGGAATTAAAAGTATAGATTAATTAACTGCTAAAGCCACTATTGTGTTGACCAAATTTACTTAATCAAGATGTTATGTTCTGATTGTTTAATTATAAAATATGTGGCTAATTTGCTGCTCCATACTCAAATTTGTGTTTTCTAAGGAAGATGTTTTATTTTATTGTTATGAAATACTTTTGTTTAGAGATCTCTCTGACACCTTAACATGCATTTAGGTGCAGCACATCTCTGTGCAGTGATTTTTACCTTTCTCTTCTGAGCAGGCTTAGTATATTATACCCCATCTGCATGATTTAAAATAAAATTGATGCTGTAGAGAACAGGGTGTTCTTTATTTCCAGTCTGCCCTCTTTCCTGGTGCAGAAGTCTTTCATAGAAATGACTTTTTATAGTGGGAAAATAAGCTAGTTTAAAAGTGTCAGTATAAATAAGCATGTTGTCTGTCTCTGGAAGTGCGGAAGCAGTAATCAGTAATGGTGTGCTGCAGGCTTATAGGAGAGAACAGCATTCTCCTGGAAAGTGTCAAGTGATTTACATGTCACACAGCTCTCTGGGGACCGGGTGGGAAGAATCCGTCTACTGGCTGGGGACCGACTTTGATTTGATTTGATTAGGTTGGAAGTCACAACTGCAGAAGCACCTATGTGTCTTAGAATAGTAGGGGGTTGTACATTATGGTGTCTGCAGTGATAAGCAGGGGGGAAAGATTTGGAGGAGGAAATGTTCACAGTACATTTCCTAGATAGGAGAGATTAGGGAATAGCCTTCAAAAAAGGTTTCAACCAGTTTGGCAGTGTTAAAAGGCAGTAAAACACTTATGTATTGATGCAGGACTTCTTTGAAGTGAAACGCTGAAAGGAGCAGGAGACTTAATACTAAGAGCATTAATTAGTGTTTGTGTGGTGATGGGCAGAGTACTTCTTATACATGAGGCAGTGCAAGCTTTGATGAAGCATGTACTTAACTGTCTTCCTCCATTATCTTATCTTATTAAATATGCTACTAAAATTGACTGTGGCTTTTGAAAAAGAAACCACCAAGGCACTGTTTATGATACATAGATGATAATTTATAAAAAAGACTTCTGGGATGACTTTGAAAGGAGATGTTGTGCACAAAATTTTATACAAGTTCCTTGGAAAAATACTGATACCAGCTTTTTGTTCTTCTGTAATATAATGGTACTTCTGGCCATGTATTTGTGAATAGCTGTATTTTTCAGTGATAGATAACTACAACTCATCCCATGCCAGAATTAAAAATGTTTCATTTAATATGAGAAATTAGTATAAAGGAGTTTTTAATTACTATGGATTTTATCAGTGGAATGCAAATTTCCTTTAGATACTAGTCTATCTGTGCTTTGTGACCCTGGAATATGTCTAATTAGATTTTCTCTGGAATAGTGGATGCAAATTTTCACTCCGTGAAATTCAGCTGATTCTAGGAAGATAAAGCAGAAGATTAAAAGATAACAGAGCTTGAAAATGTGAATTTGATTTACTTTCTTTACAGACAAAGTGGGGTATAAAAGGTTTTTCCTCAGTATTTATATAATCTTATTTTTCCTTTCTTATACTAATCTCATTTTCTAAAATGTGATGTGTTTTAGCACATACACTTTGGCGTGACTTAAGAAAAGGCATACTTAGATGATCCTACTATAACAAATCCTTTATCCAGGAGAGCTTGTAAATTTATCCCAGCACTGCACAGTCTGTCTATTAGACTATAAATTTCTCACTAAAAGGAAATGTTAGGTAAAGTTGAGATGGAGTTCATTTTACATATCCGCCAGTGAATTGGTAGTTCACCCTATTAGAACTGCTAGAAAATTAGCTTTCAGAAATATACTGAAGTAGGACTTCACCAGGTTTTGGACCCATATAATTTGTAGGCAGATGGGACAGCAGTAAATTAAATCTGCTATCCTACCTTCTTATAAAAAAAATGGCATACATGTAGTCTGTAGGGTACTTCAGTTTATAAAAGTAATGTATTTTTAAATTAAGAGAGTACACTGGAAAATATTTTGTGTCTTAATTTAATGCTAGACCTTGTCTTTCCTGAGTTACGTGCTGTATCATGTCTAGTTAAGAACATTGTGTGTTTAAAGATAGGTGAACATAGACTAAAGCCCCTCCAGCACAAGGTTACAAATCTCTAGATCATGGGCTAATAAGCAGCATTTATACATGAGGCTTGTGACAGCCTCATGTGGGAGCATTGCCACTGCAATATCTGTCTTTTCCCAAATACACAGAGGCATTTTTCCCCAGTGTCTGTCTCTCCAGCAATTCAAGTCCTCCTCTGTAATATGGCCTAATCCTTCCCTGTCCTTTTTACCCTCCCTCCTCTTTCCAGTCCTCTGCATTTGCCCTACGTGTTTGCCTGTGCAAGATGTTCTTTGGCTAGTTTTCAAAGCTATGCATCTGATAAATGTCTGGTCAGGCTATCCCTGGTGGTTAGGCAGTTGGTTGCTGCCAAATAGAGTGTGTAACAGGAACGGATGGATGGCTGCCATTCCCTTCATGGCTGGGTTAATTTGGTTTCTCAACTCCTTCACATTGCTAAAATAAGGAAAATTTTAGAAATTTATTATCTGAAGTCTTTACCTTTCTTTGACCTAGCCAGCTGAGTAGAAAACTATCTAGATGATAAGCATGCATAATCTTTATTTCGTGGGGAAACCAAACTAAAAATGTTGTGTAAGAACAGAAAATCCTTGGGTTTGGTCTAACTTGGTATTGACCTTTAGCTTAAGCAAGTTTTTACTTATGCAGATGTTTGCCTGCTGCAGCTACTCGAGTGTACTGGAGAAGAGTGACCTTGCTCCTTTATAGCCTAGTCAGTACTCCTGGTCTCATGCAAAATGTGTTTCATGGGTCCAAAAGGCTCAGCCAAGGTGATGAAAGCATATGAAAGAATATCGTGTTTATGGAAAAAGTTAACAGTCTTGTGCCATGGGATTCCCTGCGGTGTTTAACATATACCTGAAAACTATAGCAAGGTGGCAACATTTTCCTAGTTAAGGAATTTTTTAAAACATGAACCCTGTCTAAAAGAGCTCTGATGAAGTGAGATTTTCTGTGTGTCAAGGAGATTTTTTCGAAGCTTTTTCTTTTTTTCTTGGCTTCTTTATAAGCCATTCAAGAACAAATTCTGCTAAGGTAAAGCATGGTCAGACTTAAGACATTTGAGTATTAAATGTATAAATATATCCATCTGAACAAAACTTCACAAAGGCAGCAAAGTATCTTTCTTCAGTTCAGCTAGACTGTGATCTCTGGAGAAACTTTACAAAAAGAAACAATTGTTGTAAGAATAGTTTCTTGGAAAGGCTTACTCAAAGTGAATGTATGAGCTTATTAGTTACACTGCACACACAGAGACTCATATGTCTCTATCAGAGCAAAAGGGAAACAGAAGAGAGTTAATAGGACAAGGGTAAAAGGAAAAAAAATAGGCTAATATTCCTGCATCTAGATTTAAAAAGGCTTTTTGACCTTAGATTCTGAGTTAATGTCCAAGTAATTTAAAATAGTGCAGTAAATTCTACATAATTTTGATTCCTTATAGGAAATAGATTTTTGGGATTGTCTTCATGTACATAGATCGTAGTAAGAGTTGATACCTGTGCATAAAAGAAGGAAATAGAAAGCTGATTAGATAAGCATGGTATGTAGTTTGAATAATGCTGCCTTTTCCTGTTGTAATTTTCAGTATAAATAGTTTCATTCCTTATGTCTACATAATAGAATTTTTTGTACTGCCATAACCATGAAATACTGTGGTGTGTGAAGAAATAGCTTCTATTTTAAATGTGCGTATTGCTGAATCTGTTTTGACTTGTTGGCAAGTGGGCCATAGGTCTGTATCAGCATAGATTTCCCATATGCAAAGCTCTGGAAATTGAAAAAATTCTCAGAAAACTGTTTCCATCAGCAAATTCACACTTTGCAGTATGGCACGTTTCAGTCACAGTAACTATACATATAAAGCAAATGCAGCCAGTAACATAAACTACAATTTTTAGATGAAAATACTTGTTTAAAGAAGTTAGAAGTGTGGCTGTGCAATCCAAGTATTATATCTTAAAGAAAATGTGTTACGTACTGTACCTAAATCATGTGTGCATGTTTAAAAATATGGCATTTGCCTTTACTGCAGGTAGCAACGTATGTTATTTATTCTATAGGAACATTCCTCTTTCTTATGGTTTACATATTTCAGTGATTAACTCACAGAAGTCTTCAGACATTTCTAAATAAAACTTACTATAAAAGTTGCTGTACATGAATAATAAATACATTGGGAGTCAACACTAAAATTTGAATTTTTTAATGACAATTCTAGCTTAGAGTTTACAAAAATCTTGTGTGCTCAGAAAATAAGTTTTCTCTAGATACAAAATCAAGATTGGGTTTTCATTTACAACATTACACTCTATAGGTTAAAAGGTTTGCTTTTACAGACAAAAGCTGATCTTTTTTGTAATGAAAACTGAAATGAAATGACCTTGTTTCTCAAGATAAAAGTTATACTGAAAAAGAAAGCAAAACCACCCTTCTTTGTTAAAGTCTATCCCTTCTAGTTTGTTATGGCTTTAGATTGCTGTTTGGCTTGGGGTTTGTGTTTTTATGTTGTTGCTATTCTTTTGCAGACGGTTAGAACAAAATTCAATCAAGGTCATACCTCCTGGAGCTTTCTCACCATATAAAAAGCTTCGACGAATGTATGTACCAAATAATTTGATTTAATTTTTTATTTTCATAGAAACACACCCACACATACATATATATATATATATATAAAAATAAAAAAACAAGTCAAGGTCATATAGAGAAACTGCAGTTAATGTGTGGGCATTTAAGAAATTCTGCTGGAAGATTAACTGATACGGCAGCCTGATTATTAAGAACATATAGCATCTTTGTCACATTAATCATAATTGTATTTTACCAAGGATTGAAAATGTTTAATATGGTTCTGCATAGAAACAATATGTTACTGTACTTAACATTCTATAAAAAAAAATAAATTAGTGGGGATAAGCCACAGATATTTTGGAATACCTTTGAGGCTGTATAGTCCTGTGACCATAGCAATTAGGGAATTCTTTATAAGATGTACTTAAGCTATTAGGAAAAGTAAATCTTTTTGTCTTTTTTTTTCAAGCATTTGAGAGGTCTATTTTTAACCATGCATTTTGTTTCAGCATACTAGCAATTTTAGTGGTTTTACATTAAAATTCTTTGGCAGTGTCTCACATAAATATTTTCATTTCTCTCTCCCTTCCATGCCTAATTTTAATTACATATTATTTTAATTTTAGCTATTTTGAAAATATCTTGAATTAATTGAATCAAATTTCATTTATTTCAGTGACCTGAGCAATAACCAGATCTCTGAAGCAGCTCCAGATGCTTTCCAGGGCTTACGTTCACTCAATTCACTGTAGGTATCGGTTTGACATGTAAAAACCAAAGCAAATTTCTTGTATTCTTGTAGTGAAATTATTTTGGATGTTTGGCTCTCTGTGGAATTTTCATATAAATTCAATCAATTCTGAAAGGTGTAAAAAAAATTTTAGAATGTTAGAGCAATAATTGAATATTGTATCACATCTGGACACTAAAAATGTATGGGGTTTTTATAAATATGTTCATGGCAAAGAGTTGAACAAAATCAAACATTTCTTTTATTCCCCAGTTAGTTTTTCTTACAAACTGCAAATCCACTTACCAAGATCCCTTGGTAAGGCTGTAAACAGTGAGGTTCTGATTCTGCTGAGAGCTCTTTGGGCAGCACACCTTTTGGGAAAACGTGTGATCCTGCTTCCTCACAAGACCATGAGGATCTTGCAAGTACCAAGTTGTTGCTGTTAAATTCCCTTCAGGAAGATGGAAATTTCTTTCTTTTTAAAGTCAAAATCACATAGTATATGCCTTTCATAATGGCGGCTTTGTTTGCTTTATTATTTCCTGGTACAGTGTCCTCTATGGCAATAAAATTACAGAACTTCCAAAGGGCCTATTTGAAGGACTTTTTTCTCTGCAGTTGCTGTGAGTATTTTCCTAATATTTATTCTATTTTGGGATAACTCAGTAGTGTAAACTTGGTGAGAGATTTATGCCTGGAGAAGAACTGGCAGGAAATCCCGCATGTAAGATCAGAGCATAATAAAAACAGATTATGTTAAAGTCAAAGGAGTCCAGACTGTTGTAGGCCAGCTTGCCATTCATCCACAAATTTGATCATATCTGTTAATGTCTCAGCCTAAAATGATTAAAATGAAACTATTCTCTTGTGTGGAATTTATAAGTGTAAAACACATAAGATATGATACTGGCTTGCCCTGTAAACAGCAAATAGTCCATATACAGTTGCATGGGAACCATAGAAGGAATACTTGTATGTTTTATACAGAGAAAATACATGGTGGAAATGATATGTAATTGTATTTCTAGTTGTACCCATGGAAGAACAGACTTGCAGTACAGTTTCATTGATGACTTTCAGTTTTCTGACACTCTTCTCTGTGCAATTCTTTGACTCTGTAAACTCTAGCTGCTATTTCGTTTAACACTTTGGAAATTTCCATGTGTAATCTTATAACCTATTTCTATTTAATACTGGGAATAAAGAAGTATGTCATGGTGATATGTTTATCAAATATTGTCACTATGTAGCAAAAGAGGATGTGCACTAGTTGTATTGTGTAAAAGAAATTTGGGAGATGGGCCATAAAAGAATGGTAGTGGTTTTGGAAGAAATTGTCCCAGAATAACTGACTTGTTGATTTAAAGCTACTTCTTAAAGAATTTGTAATTTGAACTTCTTCCCATTTGATTAGAAGTATTTAATGTCCAGACTAGTGTAGTGATTGGCAAAATGTCTATTATTAACAACTCATTGAAGATGGCAAAACAGTAAGTAAATACAAAGAAAATGCAAGTTCTAGCACCACCTAGAGGTTTACAATTTGATTGGTTTTAATCACAAACTAGTGGGGGTTGAGGAGGTATGCATTCCTGTTTTCCTCTAAAGCGCTTTTAGTTATAAAAACATATTTCAGATTTTATAAAAATAAAAACAAAAAAAAAGGAAGAGACTTCTGTGAACTTTTGTTTATTCTGTATTAAAAAAATGTCCATACCTTGATATACTTTGCATAGACAACACATTTTAGTCTAAGTAAATTATTACTTGTGCAGTGCAACTTTTCATCAGAGCATTGTTTTTTGAATCCAGCATTCCATTCCATTTCTGGAAATGGGAAAAAATAAAAAATATTTGGGTATGAAAATGCATCCAGTTGAATGGCACATTTTATGTTTTTTTTTCTTCTTCCAAAGCATGAAGGAGTTGATTTAGATTGACTTGTTTGTTTTAACTTTAGAAGTCTGGGAGGTACAGGGAAGAAAAGGTTCCCTTTGAAGATGGAGAGGAAAAAGGACCCAAGACAGATTTGGATGTATTCCATGCCACCAGTTTTTACTACAACTCTGTTAATGCGGCAGCATGCTGATTAGTAACATATAATTAAAAGTGCCACTGCACATCTCTTCCAGCTAATGAACACAGTGTTCAGTTCCTTTTTTGTTTGTTTATTTATTTGGCAAAGAGAACTAGTTTTCCTTGCAGATACTTGATTTCTTAAGCTTGTTTCTTTGCACAGAAAAATACCACACACACATGTTCTACCAGCACATACAAGAAATGTGATTTTAGCAGAATAAACCCACACATTTCAACTCCAGGGTGCAATTATTGAGGAATAATTTCAGATCACCTAAATAAGATATTTCAATTCACTGAAATGCCTTATGTCACTGTCAATTAATATTTGTTCCTACATCTCCTGTTCTGGTTACAAATGCGCGAAAAGAATTATCTGTGAAAAACGCTGAAGCTGCAGCGACACTGAGCGAATTCTTTCAATTTTATAATTGTCTCCCATTAAACAGATTATTGAATGCCAACAAGATCAATTGTCTGCGAGTCGATGCTTTTCAAGATCTGCACAACTTGAATCTGCTTTCTTTGTATGACAACAAGCTTCAGACCATTGCAAAAGGCACCTTCTCACCCCTGCGTGCAATTCAGACCTTGTATGTATGCTCTTGTTTATGGTTGTCTTTAGTATGACTTCATATGCTACAATGTACTAAAAATACCGGGAACTGCCGAGACCAAAGGGAAATAATGTGTGAAATTATAATTTTTTTCTTCATGAAAGGCATTTGGCTCAGAACCCATTTATCTGTGACTGCCATCTGAAGTGGCTGGCGGATTATCTTCATACAAACCCCATTGAGACCAGTGGTGCCCGTTGCACCAGTCCCCGCCGTCTGGCAAACAAAAGGATCGGCCAGATCAAAAGCAAGAAATTCCGCTGCTCAGGTAATTTTCTTAGTTCAGCCGCTTTTTTTCTTTTATTGGCAAAAACAGTGGTTATAGAAGTTCTAATGAAGGCAGCTGGCTCTCTACGGAATTATTAAACATTGCAGAATCTTTTTTAGTTCTTTGACTGAAGGGGGGAAATCATGGAAGTCATAGACTGTTGGATCACGGAACATTACCATAGTTAACACATTTGGCACTATTCCTGAGCAGCATTAAATCTAACAAGAGAAATGCAATATATAATACTTCAGAATGAAATGCTAAAGTTATTCACTACAAGTATCACCGACATAAATCATTTTGTAAAATTTCCACAAGGCTCTGGAGTATGTGAAAGATCTAAAAATTTCTAGCTAAATATGGAAACATGACATATTCATTTTATACAGGGAGCTTACCTCATACTGAAATTTACTGTTTTCTTTTTCTAATCTTATTCCATTTCCTACTTACATTTCTCTAAATCCTAACTTTTGTCATATGGTATCCAGCTGTTCCAGGTGCATTTCACATTCTACAATTTATTCAGTCTCAAGTGCAAATACCAGATGAGAACTGTTTGTTATCCATGTTCCGGATACGTTTATGACTATTCACACTTTGTTGTTTATCAGCTCTCGTTGTGAATACACATTTTTTCACTTAATTATCTGTAGTTAACTGTAGTCCATACTTAATCTAATAAAACTCATTCTTTGCTTGCTGACATTCAGGTGCATCTTCTATTTTTTTTTTTCTCTTTATTTAGCTAAAGAACAGTATTTCATTCCAGGTAGGTTTGGCTCTGCAGTAAGATTGACTAACTGCAGATACTCTCTCCCTTTCCCCCAAAAAGCAAAGTTTGTTATAGCTTTTAGGAAACCGATGCATGTGGATTAACATTAGCCAATATTTGTAGCTAGACATAGTTTTCCTTTGTACATTACTAGTAGTTCTGTTTTCTGAGTATAAGAGCTTAGCATGCAGCTCCATTTACTTTTTTTTGTCTCACAAATTTGCACACAACCTACCAAAATTATACCTCTACTTAAATTATTTAGAAGGTTGCACCTGCTAGTTCATGTTTCAATTGACACCTTGACTTATCTTGTACCTTGCCTTTCTGCCACTACTGTTTTTAAAATGTAGCTCCTGAGCTGCTTTTAAAGACAGGAAACCATACTACCATCAAAGAGCTAGTACAACTTTAAAAAAAAAAAAAACAAAACGTTTTACAAATGAACATTTTCTTGCCTTGTCAACGTGCTCTACACTGGCTTCAGTTACTGCTTGCTCACCCTCCTTGTGTTTACGAAATCACAGTGGAATGCTTGGAAAAGAAAGCTGATATTCTTCATTGAAGGCATTCTGTGGTCACACGCATACAATGAATCAGAAATGCTTTCCATTAAAGAAAATGCAATTTTAGAGTTGGGGTGAAACAGCAATTTACACACCGCTTCAAGCTATAATAAGTCTATGATACTTTCACAAAAGATTTACTGATGTTGGCCCTAGCTCTTTGAAATATGTTTCTTTCTGTATTTTACCTTGCTTGTCAGGTGTGTGCACTGATTTCTTAATAGAAAAAAAAAACAATGATGCACTTGCATTATGTTCCTAACAGATTACAAATGATTGATTGGCAAAATAAACAAGGGAATAATGAATCTATTGATGAATTACAGTATGTGATTTGCAAGCAGGGTTTTCTAACATAGTTTAATATCTAGAAAAATATCTGTGATTATTGATTATGACACCAGTGCACTTGTTCTTTCAAGTACTACAGGTATATTGTCATTCTGCAGTGGTCTTAGTCTTTGTCTTTTAAGCTGGTATGTTTAACAGCTCTTCTCCTGATGCTGTGTGATGTTACCACTTAAATTTGCAGCAATCATGTGAAGTTCTTCATGCTCTCATACTAATATGTTGGTTTGAATATGGAGAAAAGACAAAATGAAACACAAAATAAGGCAGCAATTTGTCAGCATTGGCAGCCGCGAAAATGTGTTTTAAAGCCGCATAAAACAGAGGGGGATTCAATTTCTCAAACCTGTAGCACCACTCAATTTCTTAATGAGTAGAACAGCTGTATTCCTGCCACAGAGTGACTTCTACTCAACCTTGCCAGCACAACTTTTGTCTCTGAGTTAGAAGTGTTTTCTTGCCAGCAAATGTCTTCACAGCCTGTTTATAATATGGCCACACATGCAGTTTAGGTTTGTTTACGTACCCTTTAAAAAATGCTATTCCTGAGAAAAAAAAAAAAAAAAAAAAAGAAGAAAAATAATTAAATTCATCAAAATGTGCTACAGACTTGCTTCCCAAAATACAGGAAGCACAGTTTCTGTGCTCTCTCTTTCTATCAGCTATGAGGGAGATGCTGCATAAAATTTTAGTTATTGTGGACATTGTCCTTGAATATTTTAATTTTTTACTTTAAACTGCTAACATTGATTTACTCTGGATGCAGGAGGAAAAATAATATATTTGTAGCCTTGCTTATTGGGTATTTAAAAGTGCTAAATGTGCTTATTTACACTATAGTAAATAATGTAAAAATGTTAACATTTCTTTAAAAACATAAATATTTTTTATATTTGTTTTAAATATGTCATTGGGACATCTTGCTCTGCAGACACTGGGAAGTCTTAGTAGAATTTCCTTATAGTCATTTGAAAGACAGATGGTTATACAAGTATTAAATCATTAATTTAAAAAAATATCATTTGTCTGCTAGCTCATAGAAATATTTCATGTACTTATGTGTTACTTAGACATTTAGAAATGCTAGATAACATAGTATGTGATGACTGTTTCATTTTTGGGTTTTTTTTTCCTTCATTGAGGAATCTGTTTCTCCTATGTTTCTTTGGTTTATTGAGATTTTAAGTGGCATAGCATGTATATATGTTCAAGGGAGCAGCTTGTAAAGAATACATTCAAAATAGTGAAGAATAATGCATGGGGAAGCATTATCATCCTATATGAAATCTGTAATTAACCCCAGTCTGTTCCTCATTTTTTAATGCCACTTAAAATGAATTATTCTTTCTCTCTGCTGAAGATTGTTCCCCTTAGCAAGATCTTCTAATCAAACTAAAGCTGAGTAGAGAACATGAGAGTTTAGTTCATGTTTTTGTCTTAATTGGGATTACTGTCTTTCTTTCCTTCTTGGCTATCTTTACTTTTGCAGGAGTTCACCATTTTGGCTGTAAGTAAAGTTCAGTGTCTGAGCTTAATCACAATGTACCTCCCAGCCCCGATGCACCTTCTACTAGTCTCAGTCTTTTCACCTTTGTCTAAGAAGAACCCACAGGTCCTTTCAGCTTCTTGTTGTTTTCCCTGTCACCCACCCTCAGTTCCTCCTGATATGTCTAGGACGTTTTCTTTGACTGACTCTGAGAAATGGTGGAGGAAACGTTCAATGTGGTTCTTTTTTTTTTTTTTTTTTTTGTACTTCTTATTTAATCTGTGACAGTAATACTGTTACTGTGGCACTGGACATTCAGTAATAAGAATGCCATGTCATGTGAGCAAGTATTAAACTTCGAATGCTTCTGTAACTTATACCTACTCCTTCCTCTTTCCCCTTGCTTTTATCCTTGGCCTAATGGATGCAGTTTTGATAATGTAGCGAGATTTTCTGTTGTGCTTGATCTAACCATGTGGTTGTGAGGTATGAGTAAAACATGGTTCTGTCAAGCACCATGGAACGTCACGCAGCTTTCTACAGCATGGCAAGCTGCTGAGGCTTAAGTCAGGATCACACATTTTTTAAATTAAAGCTGAAAACAGGGCTTTCAATCTTACGTGTTTGAGATGATGTGGAGTATCGGGACTATAAAAAAAAAAAAATCCCAGGGGTTAATGAAGTCCAGTCAACAATACAAATTTGTAACAAGAGAAAGAGAAAAGGTGGCATCCAGGTTCTATTTATTCTTGATAGAGAGAAAGAAAACAAATTCTAAAAGAATCAGTGGCATTTGTGTGATTAGCTATAAACAAGGCTAGATTGGCTGACAACATAATCAGCAGAAAGTACAGCTGTGAAAAGCTCAAGTTAATGTTATCCTGTTATGTGAAGTTGGTCACAGTTTCTTTTTCCAGCATATATTAAGCCCCTATATTTAACCCTCTCTTGAAGCCCTTGTGTCTGTTCAGTATCACAAAGTTTATCATACATTTCCCAAGTTGCCCACCCGTTATCTGCATTGCAGACATCTTTTCAACCTTCTCACAAGAAGCAAATCTTATACTTTATTGACTCAGTATCTGTATTTTGACTTGACTCTTCCACAGGCACTGAAGATTACAGATCCAAATTAAGTGGAGACTGCTTTGCAGATTTGGCTTGCCCTGAGAAATGTCGCTGTGAAGGGACCACAGTGGACTGCTCCAATCAGAAACTCAACAAAATTCCTGATCACATCCCCCAGTACACAGCAGAGTTGTAAGTTGAATCCGTAATAAAGCATTATTTGCTTATGGAAAAACTAACTAAAATTTTCAAATATAAACCCACAGCTTTACTCTTTTGAAAAACAGAAATTAAGTGTAACCTCTGTAGTGCACTTCAAAGGACTAGATATTAATAAAAATTATTTATGCATCATTTCAGTACCATGTAGCCTTAAAAACTTATGATAAATAAGGTAACTATTCTATGTTTCTAGTTCTCCAGTACCTGAGCTACCCACTTGGATTTTTTTTGAAAGGTAATGGGGTTTATTTTGCTTTTTATTTTGACTACAAGAGCAAGTAGGACATCCGGTATCCAGGGGTCTGTCTTAAGAAGTGCTACCTAGGTGTTTAATAAAACGGAGCTGATTCTTCTTATGCAAAGCACACGTTATTTGTGTTAGGCAGAAGACCAGAGGAAGATAAAGCAGACAAACAAGACATAGTTGGGTTAAGAAGATGAGATAATGATATAATGAACAGAGATGAGCAGAAAAGAAGTCACAGATTATTACTTGCTTAATAAGTGCCATATGGGAATGATTTGTAGGCATTACAAATTAAGTGGTCTTCAAGGAGGGATTGAAAGATGAAATTAAGACAGCTTTAGTGTGGCCGTCATTGGCAGAGCAAAGGTGGTAGGAAATAGCTCTTTTTCCTAGGAGATTCAGTATAAAGAACAAGAATGTTGAGGGGCAAAAGTGAGGGACTTTGATTTAATGTAGTAAAGTGGGAACAGAGATGTGAGGACAGGAGTACTGTGATCAAATTGTGACCCATAGGGGTGAGATGAGCAACAGCATGGCACGTCTCTTAAAAGATAATCAGTCCACAGCTGGCATCAAAGCAACACACAGCAGTGAAGGTATGACATAATGAGATCATAGTTAAGGATTTTGAATATCTGGACAGGAAAAGGAATTTGAAACTGAAATATTGTGTAAACAGAGATGGAGAATTTTGTCTGTCTTTAAGCTGGGAGGAGGAGTTGAACTTAGTGATGTTCTAATTACAAATCTGAGTGGTAATTCTAGTTGTGCCCAGAATGATGGCAAATCAACTCTTCATAAAGTAGTGCCAGAGAAGAAAAACACACAGTCTTGGGTAAAAGGAGACAGATTTCAGTGGAGAGATACTTTTTTTTTTTTTTTCTTACAGGATTTTCTAGGGATACAATAAAGAGGGTGAAGAACCAAAAAGGAGGGAAAAAGAAAGAAGATTTTAGTGTGGAGGAATGTCCACAAGGAGGCAGAAAATAGTGATCAAATATGTATAAAGTTATGCTATATTTTGAGATAAAAGGACTTGAAGTAAAGAATAAAAATGATATGGGTAACAGGTTGATGGAATGGGTAACAGGTTAAAGTGTTGGAAGAGATTATAAAGTAATGGTTGTAAAAATCATAGTTACTGAACCAGGAGATGAGAAATGGAGTTGTTGAAGTGACAGGCACACATTGTCTTGATTCTTAGCAGGATTCATGTTTAATTCTCTCTGCTCTGAAGAAATAATAGTCTTCATTTAGTATTTTAATTGTGTTTTTTCACATTCATTTATTTACATGTGGAAGATAAACTGTAGAGTGTTTTCTTTCTATAATTATGATTCATCCATATTAAATTCAGAAGAAACAATTAAATCATCAAGCCTCATCTGCTGTGTATCCTAAACTCTCAAATTTCAGTCAACAAAAAAAATTGTGTTTGACTAAAATATAATCCATGTTTGGTTACAGCACTTCTTTCAGAAAATATCCAGTCTTGTTTGAAGGTATCAGTGGATTAAAAATCCACAAAATCCCTGAGTGTTACAGAAGTTAAATTATTAACTTCTCTTAAAATCTTTTAGAGTTGGAACTTTTAATTCGAGGTGGAATCTGCCTCTCTTCTCTTTCCATCATTGCTTCTTTTACATTTTTGTTGTTAAAGAGCCCTTTTCTATCCAGCACTTTATCCAAGTAAGATGGTCTTAAACTGTAACAAAATCACTGTTCAACCTTCATTTTGATAAACTGTACAGATTGTTCTTCAAGTCTTTTGACGTAAAAAAATTTCAACAGTCTTGCAAGTATTCTAGCGGGGATAGAGGAATTATTTCTGCTTTTTTTTTTCACTTGCTCTAAAAATCCAGTTGCTCTAGCTAAATACACTCTTCTGGTATTTGCGTCACTGATGCAAAAGTTACAGCTTTGTTTCCGTCTGTAATTCCTGGTCTTTGATGCACTGCCTTTGTTGCTGCTCTTGGGACTTCCCAGTCTGGTTCTAGGGCTGCTCTGTGATTTCCAGTTCACAACATTTACTGGAATATAGGAGAACACCAGCTAGTTAGCCTTTCTTTTCTTTTACCCACCAAATTTCAGATAAAGATACTTGTTAGAGTCAAATGACATTGATGTTTCCATAATAGTGATGAGGAAGTCTAGATTATTTTCTGCAGGTTGTTGTTTGGAGCTGAGACTCAGCTTGGAAATGAAGACCAGAAGTGAGGAAGAGAGTATTGATTGCAACAGTAATAATATTGCACCAAACCCCCTATTTCTTCAAAGTAGTTCTTTTTAAAAAGAATCTGAAAATAATAATACAGTTCAAGACAGATACTTCATTGTAAATGGTGAAAAAAATTACAAATGAGCCAGGTGCTCTTCTAACTGTTTCTGTTTTGTCACTTGCTTACAGTCTTCCAGAAAATCAGTGAAGGATCTGTCTAATCTGCCATTGAAGTATTTGAGATAAAGTACAGGCCTGTAAATGCACCCCAGAAATAAAATATTTTTCAGGTAGCATTCTAATACATAGGAAAAATCAGGAAGCATTTGATAAACTGCTCAAACCAGAGTCCCCCAGGGGAACGTTAAATAAAAACAACTGCAGTCTTATGTGTTCAATTTTTGTAATGATTTTACAATAACTGATATAGTACTAGGTCCTACCAAGATAGTTTTCAAAAGCATGAATCTCACTGCAGTATATAGCCTTCCAGGAAGGTTCAGCTGTTGTACCAAAACATGCAAATATCTTACCCATTGTGTTAATAAAACAGGAAAAAGCATCAAATACAACAGTGTAACAGAATATTTAGACATCATCATCATCATGTGCTTCTTTGTTTACTTTTTTGTTTTGAGAATGACATTTCAGGACTTTGAATAAACACATACAAGTATTTTTAAGATCCTTTTCATGATCCAGTGTTTGACAGGTAACAACTATCATTATTGTCTTTACCAGTAAAGAGCACTGGGCTCAAAAAATAGTGATATTAACATCCAGAAAAAAAAGATACCACCACATCTGTTAATTTTCCAGTTATCTGTAATAATTCGTGTGTGGTAGATGAAAAAGTCTTCCACATTTCACAATTCCAGATCTAAAGCCAGCAATATCCAGCCATAGAAATGCCATGTGATCCATGTGGTCATTGCTCTGACCACAAACCCATAATTTGTAACTCTTGATGTCCCCTTATTTGTGGATCTACACTCAATAACGATGCATGATTTGTGGTATCACCATATACACAAAGTTTAGAGAGAAGATAACGATTTGTGCTACAGTTTTAACCAAACATAATACAGTGATTCAACCCATGCTTCTCTTCCATCATAGAGAAGTATGGAGAAGCTTCTCAAACACTGAAAATCTTCGAAACAAATGGAAAATTCTTAAAATTGTTATGTAATATTGATAGTAGACTAAGACTAGCTTAAATAAAAAATAAAATTCTACATATGACATTAGGTTGGACTAATAAGCACCACAAAGGCAAGAGTGAGGAATAACCAACAAGTAGTTCAAGAGAGAAGGCTATGGTGGTGTTACCGTACATGTTAAAAATGAAGGAGTGTCATGGGGCACTGCTACAAATGTCATTTGAGAATGTATGTACAGGAGTGTAGTAGGTAGGTTATAAGAAATAATTGTTTTACTGTATATTACAGTTGCAAAATATCAGCTGAAATACTAGAAAAGAAGACTTCCGAGGAAAAACTGAAAAGATTGAATGCATTTGTGTGGGTGAAATTTGAGGGAGAGACAAAGGAAATTATTTTTAATATGTAAAAGGTTGTTGTGAAGCGAAAAGGGTCAAATTGTCTTTTTCAATGAGGTTAGAAATATTTGCAGTAGAGCACAGCAAGGAGAAATTATTAGAATCAATAAATTTTCACAAACAAGTCACTCTACTAGATGATATAGCACTTGAAAAGTATTTGAAAGTGTCAGCATTTATAGAATGCTTGGTGCTTCCATTGTTGATGGACAAGGGAAAAAAGGCTGTTTACAATGATGATGCAATGTTGTTTAATTGACCCTGTGAAAAAATTCATTTGATATGGTCCCACTAAAAATCACGTTAATTCATCCAGCTGATTTTCAGAAGTGGTAGTGTCTTTTGAAATTCGTGTTCCTTGTTCTTTGGTGTGATATACAAATGTTCTGTGTATATCCAAAAAACTCTTCCTGTCTTCTCTCAGTTTGGTTGCATGCTGAAACTATTGTATAGCCATACCTTCAGATTTACAACCTTAATTTCCCTTCTGGCTATCATTGAGAATGAGCAGGAAGGAAGCACGAATGAGCAGCTTTCTTTTATTTTCTAGGGTGTTTTTAATCTTGTCTTGCAGTAAGGCAATTCTGAAAAGCATTCCAGGTTTAGAATTATGCTGAATTTCATTTCACGGTGATCTTGTCAGTCATCTCTTTTCCTTCCTATTTAAGATCTCTAAATAAAAGCTGGACAGACTCCCTTCCTTAATATGATGACTCCATTAGAACATATAAAGAATCTAAGACTCATAATTTCCGTTTTCTTTTCAAGAGAGGAAATAGAGAATACTGGGTCAGTGCAAACGTTTTTTGAAATATAGATGGTCCCCTAACCTAGCAGCTGCTAAAGGTATACTATGGAGCAACAGTCTTGATACCTAGGCAGGAAAGATCAGTATCCAACTAGTATTTGTTGCTTATTGTATACCTTCTCATAGTGTTACAAACCAGTGTTTAATGCTTCCTTATGCAATTTATATGTGTTAGTTGTAGTAGTCTGAAGATAAACCATGGTCAAATAAGTGATTTTAAATTCTTGGGAAGACCGATGCAGTGTGTTTCAGGCCCTATTCAGAAGAAGCATTGACCATAAAGTAATTATTTCATTCTTGTAAATAGTGTTCTGTGAGCACCTCCAGATGTCTGGCAGACCCCACCTGATATCCTTTAAAGAACAGTAAACTAATCTTCAGTGGTTTATATGTGCTTCTTAAAGATTTTTATTTATAAGTTGCCATGGAATCCTTCCTTAGTTACATTTTGGTTTTCTTCCCTTAAAAGAAAAATTAAAAACATCTTCCTATATTTTTGTGCAGTTTTAGTTGTATGATATTTTGTGATCTGGTTTTGATTCTGTATGTCTTATATATGCCTACCTAAGTTTAACTAATGAGAATGTTCATTCACAGGAATTACCAGAATTAAGAATGTCAGTATATACGGAATTGTTCTTCAGCTACCAGCTATGCAGTTAAACCAGTCCGAAAAGCTCACTTAGTGTGGAACACTCTGCACCAATGCCTGAATATGTTTTTCTGAAATTGTTGTCATTTCTTGCAGGCGACTAAATAACAATGAATTTTCAGTCCTGGAAGCTACTGGAATATTTAAGAAACTTCCTCAGCTGCGTAAAATGTAAGTGCCACTTCAGTGACCTTGTCTATTCAGATAGCATGTTAGCTCCTTGCTGTGTTTCTCCACCTTTCTTAGTTCTTACCTATAAAAGGTTCCGCATATTCTAATCAAAAATCAAGAATTAGGTTTAAATTAATCACTGAGCTCGATCAGAGTTGGCAGCTCTTCTCTATGGGACGAGGCACCGCCAGTAACAGCTTCTCAGGGTGTATAGCTCCGCCACCTTCACTGCAGTGTCCAGCCAGCTGGTCTGTTATGCAGCCACAGCAGGGAGCTCGCAGTGTAAGCTGCTCAAAAAAGGTTCCAGTAATCTTCTGTAACTTCCCGCACTACTCCCTAAGCAGGCAATTTTGCTTCTTTCAGCACACTCAAGGCATGCCTTTGATTCTGTGCTTCATTAAACTGTCATTAGATGAGGGCAATATCAAAATTAAATGACTGAGGAAAAAATTGTTTGATAGCTCATCCATGTTCGCATTTCATGTTCCAAGAGGAGTTTATAATCTTACCAGTTGCAGTTGTTACTGAAAATGAATCTATGAAAAGCTTTTCCTTTGCTTATATAAAAGACATATTTGAGGGGAAATCATTTAGTTAGACTTGGTGATTCTGTGCTCAATCTTTTCAGGATTAATTCCAAACATAAATAGTGAGTGAAGAAAAATGCAAGTAAAAATAGATGAGATTCATGAAAACAATGCACTGCTTTTCGAATGTAGTCACAAGTTACTACCATTTGTAAGAAGTCAGTCTAGATTACTAGTGATGAAAATCTCAAAGGGAGCAATAGTATTAAACTTTTTTTAGCCTTATCCAGATCTTTGCTAGCAGCTGTCATGATAACAGTTAAACAGTTATTACTGATCTTTTTAGTAAGTAGACAAAGATTAAAAAAAACAAACTAAACTGAAAAAAAACCCATATCAACTTTGCTTTTGAACTATCCACTTGAGTAGACCTTGCCACTTCGGACTGCACTGAGATGCTTAAAAAAAGAATGTAGGAATGTCTGGCACAACAGTGTTTTGGTGCTATACAGTAGATACGCAGTTTTCTTCATTCCTCAAGGATCTCAGATTAGCACTTTTTACAGCTATAGAGTGCCTTTAAAATAAATACTTGATGTGGCATCATACATACACATATATACACACACACATGCACACACATATATTGGTTCTCCATATTTAAGAAAAACGGGGAAAAGGGAATGTACTGTCAGCAGTTATACATTTTTAGGCTATAAAGGTAGCTTAGTAAACATTTCATGTCATCTAAAGCTAGTTTGCTGCTTTTTAGTTGTGGAGGTGTTCAAGACGAAAGAAAGAAAAGGAAGAATATTAATCAGTTTTAATGTAGCTGTCTAGTGGAACTCCCAAGAGCTTGGACATCTGGATAATTGAGGAACAAAATTGAGAAAATGTAATGAAAAGTGAACATTTTTAATAATATTGCTCTGTAACTTCCTAATATAGTTCTCGGTTGTTACAACATTCTTCAATTTAGAGACTAACAGTGAGTGGTTAATCATGACTGGAAAGCAGTGAGGTAGTGACGTTACAGAGACACCAATACGAGTGGATTCTGTATTTTTGTGGAGCTCATATTTCTTCTGGAGGTTCAAATAGGTGCAAAGGTCTTTCTGCACAGATGACATTGAAAAATTGGGGCCTAAATGTTTAAGTGATTTGATGCTTCATCAGTAATAAAGCACGTGTGTGCACTGCATCATTGATTAGCTATGCAACATTAATCCTTAAAACATCCCTGTGAAGTGGGTGAAGTAGTATCTGTGTTACAGCAGGAGTAAATACGATTTTAGGAAACTTAGGACTTGACATGGATAAGCCAGCTGAGATGAGAAATAATGAGTTTCTTGCTTCCAGTCTTGTGCAGCACCTTACAGGACACTTAACAGCTCCACTGTGGAACTAAATGAAGGCAATGATTGAATGCTTCATCAGAGGCAAGGTGTACGTTAAATTACAGCTAGGCTAGAGATGAGTAGTAAGCACTCAAGATTAAGCTACAACTCCTTGTTTTCTTTGTCTCAGATAATGGCACCAGTTCATTCTGGCAAGTGTATGAATTTTTGTTTGAATACATAGTATCTTTCTTGATTTGGACAATTAAAATGCTGTTCTTGAAGTTGCATCAAATATATGTTTGATTTTCTTCTTAACACCATTAATTCCATCAAATAAAAAGTTTTTAGCTTCACTTTATTTTACATTGTCTTAAGCCATTTTTAAGAAAGCATTTTTAAAAATCACTAGTGTATTCTAACACTGTTTAGTGTAGATATGTACTTATGTAATATGTATAAATAGTTTTATGAAACAAAACAAAATGAGGCCAAAATAACATGAAAAATCTTTAAGATGTGTGCTGTTGAGTATGTATGCTTTTGCATATATAGTACAGATACTACTGATTTGGGATGTAATTTCCATATTTCAACTAAAAACATAAACAATAAATATTTTGGAAGTATTTTAGGTCATTTTCCCACATTTTTATTTGCTTTGCATGAGAATCGCAGATAAATGAACTATTATGCCTACAAAACCTCCTTTTTAACTAATGTCATAAATGATTAACATTTCATTTACTGTTTACATTCACACGTTCCATTTACATATGTTGCTGTTTATACTGTTTGCTTATATTTGTGTCTACTGAGATGAAATAAAGAAATCAGAGGGGTTAGTTGTGCTGGTACTCATACAGTATCATTTTACTATTAATTCATCTAATAATGCTACAAGAACTGGAGACATGAAAAAAATATGCAGTCACTGACAACATTCAAAATAATGAAAAGATGTTCTTGTGTGGCAGCAGCATAGACTGAGTAATTGCCATTACTTAAAAAAATGTTCCAAAGATTGTTTTAAAAATTTTTACTACTTTAGTTAGCAGGGCATTGAATTTTGCTTTTACTGGTTTGAAGTTGAACAATATATTTGTTGCTTTTACACAGTAACTCAGTACCTTGAAATCTATGCAGTCTGCACCATTTCACAGTTAATTTAGAGTATTTAAAAAGAAAATACATTTTTCTGTGTTTCTGTTACTGTGTAATAGAAACCTGAGCAATAACAAGATTACTGATATCGAAGAAGGAGCATTTGATGGAGCCTCTGGCGTGAATGAACTGTTGCTCACTAGCAACCGCTTGGAAAGCGTTCGGCACAAAATGTTCAAAGGACTAGAAAGTCTCAAAACACTGTAAGTGTAATTATTTGGGTGCTTTTATTCTTCCTTTCTGCCAGGTATTTTTTAAAGTAATATCCTATCTGTCCTGAAAACTGATTTGGGAGGATTAGCTATGGATTATTCAAGAATACCTTAGATTTTGTTCCTATTTTACAAAAGCTTATCATACATTATATGAATTCATTAATATTAATTATGGCTATATTGTAGCTGAAATTCTTCATTGTGGTTACTTGACTACAGAAATAATGAGTCCTCTGAAATGATGAACTGGTTGAGAATGGGTAAACATCCAGCTGCAGAAATGGAAATGGGAATAATCATCTTCAAAGTAACAGAATTTTGCACGGGAATTACACATTGTACGTAATGGAGTCTGATTCAATTCAGCTCAACCATTACTGGGAATTTTGCTAGAGGAAAGAATGATTCTGGTGGATATTGAAATGTGGGAAATGATTCTCTCCTACGTAATTTTAATGTCATTTCAACAGTGAAGGGGGTAGTAAAAGCACTATAGATGGAACTCATTTCATTCTTTCCATGAAGGCAGCTTAGCTCTTTCCACTCAAAAAAAGATGTTTATACAATCCACAGCTTCTTGGCCTTCTTCAGAGAGCCTGTCCTGATCAGCACAGCAGAGCCAAGATTAAATGGTCTTTAGGGCTTCAGCTGTCCATAGACATTAGGTATTTTTATAAATCAAACCTATCATTTAAAGCTGTTAAAGTTGTTAGAAGCAGCTACACAAGCGTGCGGGGAAAAAGAATTCATTTATTGATCGACAGGTAGGAAAACAGCAAACTTCAACACTCATATGTTTTACAGAACTATGAGAGATTTTAGAATAGGTTATTTCTTGCTTAGTATTCTGAAATTTTTACTAAATCTTGGAGTCATGCTGAGGAGGAGTCAGGGTAGCCTGATTTCATTTAATTGAAATGCTTGAGAATGTAGTAGAAGCAGTTTCTAGAAATTATCCTAAGAAAATTCAGGTTGAAGGGGCCTCAGGAGGAGGCCAGCTTGTAGATCCTTCTGCTCCATGTAAATAGGAGTTCTGGAGTCATTAGCCTTGGAAACATGAACAGGGACTGCTGTGTATCTCTGATTTGGGGAATTTCAATCAGTTTAATATATTATCAATTAACAAACTCATAATTCCTGATTCTGGTATTGAAAGGAAAAAAAAAAAAAAAGAACAAATGCTTAGGGGAAGCACCCCTGGCCTTTGTGAAACCTGCCCACCCACCTTTCTGTTCTGCAGTCCCCTCCACGCACGCTGCACTCAATCCCTTCAGTGAGGTGACAGGCAGCATGGGGGCCACTGCGCTTGTGGTTCCTCCCCCAGCAGCAGTCCTTCCAGGGTCATACCTCTCAGCCTCTGCTCAGGACACCACTTCAGCTCCAGCCCCTGCTCGGGCTAAGCCAAGCAATGTTGATCCTTCCTTTCTCAGGATGCTGAGGAGCAACCGTGTGAGCTGTGTGGGAAACGACAGCTTCACAGGCCTGAGCTCAGTCCGCCTGCTCTCGCTGTATGACAACCAGATCACCACCGTGGCACCCGGCTCCTTCGATACCCTGCACTCGCTCTCTACGTTGTAAGTCACATTCATGTTTTACCTTGCTCAAGTTTAAACCTCTAACGTTTTGGGTACATTTCTGTTAACGATTGACTGCATAATTTCACAGCATGAGGTAAAGTTAAGGGAAGAAAGAGTTCATAGGGGGATTTTTGAGAAAGTTTCTTTTCTGGACCATCTTGGATGCATGAAGAGTAGGTGTTCATGGTGCCTTTTGATGCAGCATTAGACTGGTTTCCAGAGGTGCCTGAGAAGGCAGGAAAAACATCCTGGTTGCCCCCCTCGCAGAAGGCCACTGATCTGAGCCAGGGTAGAAAGCCACATTTTGGATAGGCATTGTGCGACCACAGCTGGCCGAATCACCATGTTGTCTGCCTTTCTGCACTGTCCGATCCACTTATTATTTTAAATTTCCGCTGCCTACTGAGAATCTTAATGTTTTATAATGAAGCTTCAGTCTCATTTTCTATAAAAAGAAGCACCGCTTTTTTTATTTAAATATGATGTAATTTAAGGGAAGGGAAAACGGTGAGCAAAGCTGCCACTCTAGTTTACTGAAGAAATGCTTTTTGTAGGTACCATCATTCAGGAAAGTACTTAATCCCCTTTTTACATAAAATGTGACACTTTGCACCAAGTGACTAATTTGTGCATATTAAGGATGGCATGTTTATAAATAATGGAATTGTCGATAGGTTTGTGCTGAAGTAAGGAGATGCCAAAAGTACTGAGACTTCTAGAAGTAAATTCATTTTTATAACTGGCATGTAATCAACTTAGCTGTCACTTCAAATAGGAAACTTATTCTCTGGAGCAAATAAAAGATGGAAATCTTGAGGTGACAAATTAATGGAATAGCTGTTGTCAGGTTAAAGCTAATAATGTAAAGTAATCAGCCTTCATCTCTATAGGAAATTATTGTATTATCAGTACAGGGTGGCTTGACAACAAGTCAGGTCTTTGACAGTTTTAAATTATTTCTAAACGAGTTATATCAGGATTCACCACACAGAGTCTAAATTACAGCTTTCACCTATGGTTTGTACATAGTATTGTTTGAAGAATGGTATTTAAGCTTAGCTTTTTGAAAATAGAAACTTAGAATGAAAAAATGGTGTCATCCAAAGTAAACTTCCCTGTGGTTCTCAGAAACCTCTTGGCCAATCCCTTCAACTGCAACTGCCATCTCGCGTGGCTTGGAGACTGGCTAAGGAAGAAACGCATTGTGACGGGGAACCCTCGCTGCCAAAAACCCTACTTCCTCAAAGAGATTCCCATCCAGGATGTGGCAATTCAGGATTTTACATGCGATGATGGTAAGAAAATTAATATTTGAACTTTTTATAATTTCAGCTTTCATATGTATAGCTGCATGATTCCCATAGTTCCCAAAGTGTTCTGCTTTAAATAACTTCATCTGTGCTTCATGCTCAGTTTCTATATCAGTTTAAAAACCTTTCACCCATTTTTGGATGATCAGCAAGGAAACGGCTGTTGTATGTATGTTTTCAAAAGTTTTCTTGCCTGTGTTCAGTACTGTAAATCATAATTTAGAGATAATATAAAAAAAAAAATCAAATGTTGTAGTTCAGATGAGAATATTTACAAATGCTGATGCTTGAATCAAGCGTTCTTTCAGGTTACTTGATCAAATAACATGCCATTTTGCTTAGTTTTTGACTTCCTGAACGTCAAAATTCACCTAAACACTTAAAAAAAAGGTGGTTGTTATCTTGCAACTCTCTCATACTTGCTTCTATTTCTTGTGTTATTAGTTTGTCAATTTTCAAGGCTGTAACTTTTCTTTAAAGGGACTCGGTTTATTTTTAATAATTTGTTTTTAAAGATCAACTTATATTTTGTTTTATTATATTTCAAGGTTTTTTTATTTCTTTAATGATCTTTTTTTTCCATATATAATTTTTCCTAGTAAAACAGCATTGTACTACATAAAGCGTCACTTGAAATGTAAATTCTTGGAGCGATGGTTTACAGAGGTGACTTAGTTTTCCCTACCTAGACATACCGTAATGTAGAAATATAATGTTTGCTTATGGGAATTCCAGTTGGGATATTATTGCCAATACTGAAGTGACATTTGTATAGCAAGCTTAGCATCTGTTTGTTTTTATTAACCAGGAAACGATGACAATAGCTGCTCTCCACTGTCCCGCTGTCCTGCAGAATGTACTTGTCTAGACACAGTAGTTCGCTGCAGTAACAAGGGCCTAAAAGCTTTGCCTAAAGGTATTCCAAAAGATGTAACTGAACTGTAAGTGGCACACTTTTTTCCCTTTTATGAAAATCAATGCCAGATTTATATTGTCAAGTTCAAGAATGAGGGGAGAAGAAAATGAAGAATTGGATTCAGTTGATCAGTTGAAATTTATTAATATACCACTTTATTGATATAAACTTGCACAATATCCTGAGAAATTTGAAGTTAAGTTTGAATTAGCAATGCTCTGTATGTCCCAAAACACTCTGAGAACTATCTGTTGCTGGAAAGCTTTAAAAATATACGTATGTAAAATTGCAATCGCTCTCAGAATTTATATCCCCAACACTGAACCATTATATAACTGAATGTGGATGTCATATTACAATGGTTTAAATTGTAGGCAACAGTGAATCTGATTAATCTGTGGTCACTGTTTAGGAAGGAAGGAAGAACTTCAATTACATGAAAAATCAAAAAGAAAACAATCTATTAATGTGTTTGCATATTTTTGTAATAAACAGGTTTGTGATATTTCAGAAAGACTGGTTTTAATAAAGTCTTACTTTTCATATAGGCAGTCTTATACAGTCTGTGATACTTTATTAATCTTTTGATATATTTTTATATGAGAAAAATGGTTAAGATTGCAATTTATGAAAAGATACAATTTGAATATGCAGATAGAGATGGACAATAACATCAATATAAAAAGAGCTTGCTACCTCACCTATTGTGATAGATTATAACTGAATAAGGTAATAACTGAAAATAATAACTGAATAAGATACTCATAAGACTAGATGAGTCAATCTTTATGCATTATGAAGGGAAAAATATAAACCTGGGGTATTCCATCTGTTTTGAATCTTGATCAGATGGGTCACAAGATTGAAAGAAATAGATAGAAATTATTGACAAGAAAAAAAGTTGGGTTTGTGTTACATATGGCAAGTATTTAATATTAAATTACTAATGCTTCATAATGACTGATTATTGAAGTGCTTTTTGAGAAGACATCATAACTCTGTTTCTTAAGCCACTAAAACAGTTTAATTATTTTACTATTTGGTATTATGTAGAAGATTCTGAAATGTCCACCACTAGTTTGGTGCTTAATAGCATCAAAAATCTTTAGTCATTAACGAAGAGAAGTTATTAAGAATTCAAATTAGCACACAGCTGTATAAACCTATAACTTATTTCATTTGGTTTTGGTGTTGTGGTTTGTTTTTTTTTTTTTCCCTCAGAGATGACTTAATTAAATATACTCAGGCCTAATACAATTTGACAATGTAAGGGCATCAATGCAATGTAAAATTAAGCAGCTAAAGAGAGATACTTTTGGAAGTGCAAGTGGAACCCTGACTGTGACTGAAAACTCATTTGTGTACAATTTTGTATGCTTTAGTTAGTGTCTAAGCATGCAATTTAGCATCATTTCAAAAGGATAATGGAGGTGGTCCCTGTTAGCAGTTGTGTACTTATTGATTCTTCTTGCATGCATAACCCTTCCGAGATGTACTCTTCATGTGTTTCATAAAATATCTTAATAGTTGCTTTATTTGAACAAGGAGGAATTTTTATCAGCCAAGTGGATACTTGTAGTACTTCAGTACTAATGAAGCTAAAGCAATATATCCTAATTTATCTGTCAATAAAAGAATTTTCTCAAAATAATTACCCCTTCAAAAAGTTTAAATATTGTTGGTTTCTTTTTTAAAAATTAAGTATATGAGCCCTGCTCCATTCACCACCACTTACATAATGCTATTAACATAGTGTAAGCACAAAACTGTTGAGACACATACTTTGGATTTGGCAAGCAGTCCTAAGGAAACCATGGTCCAAGGAAAAAAAAAAAAAAGGTGTTTTGTTTACGTGTAAATAGTTATTTCATTAAGTGTAACTATGTTTCAGCCCATCCATTTAGTAAGACAAAAGTTTCCACAGATGCTGCAGAATACTTCAAGACATTTAGCTCAAAATTAATCTAAGGATGTCTCTGTTAGAGGCTGCTCTTAACTCAAGTGTGTTCCAAGTATTTGGATGCCTAAAATATCTTCTTTGTATAGGGATAATGAGGATGTAGTTTTTACTTGGGTACTAGGAGGCACAAATAGTACCACCATAATACCACCATAGAAGTAATTTGGCCCAGTTGAGAAACTAACAATCTTTAATCTTCTGGCCGCTGTCTGCTCTGTTTCAGAGAATCAGGTAAATTCAGCACTTTTTATCATCTCTGAACTACTTGCCCTGGTTACATGAAGAGCCCCTCCACTTGCACTTTGTATTGACTGGCTGCACACTGGAAGCTTTTTAGGCAAGGCTTGTTACCGTCCTTTGGCTCTAACTCAGGTGCCAATATTGTTTGATGGCCCTGCACCTGTTATCTCCAAGGATGAACGAGTCTGTTATTGAGAATTATGAGCATGGAAGAAGAGCAAGCAATATAATTACAGGAGCTGTAAACCTACAAAGAGGAAAAAAAAAAAAAATCTGACTTTTCTAGTGAAGGGTAATTGATCACTGTCTTTAGTCCCTAACATACTCCATAGGAACAGGCTTGTAGTATGTCATGCCTGATATATCATGAGATATACAGGGAGAAATTAGGGAAGGTGACCTGAACTGCAGGCATAACAAATGCTGTTAGAGCTTAGACAGCCCTTGCTGTTTCTACTGTAAAGGACTACCTCTGCAATGTCAAGGTCTGTTTCTATTTACCCGATAGCTCAAAATACATACTTAATGAGACTTGCAGAAGTCAGATTTACTTTTCACCTGTAAGTGTGTGTGAAATTGAAACGTTAAAGACCTCATTTTGCAAAGTCTTTATGAAATAATAGAAACTGCCATGTAAGAGTTGGTTGTTATTACTGTTACTTCATAATATTCATAGTATATGATACAATAGCATTTGGATCTTAGGCTACAGGTCCAGTTGTGTCTCTGAAAAACAAAATCTGGGAGCAAGGTTTCTTATAAAACAGAAATACTATGTATTCATTTGTTATTAACTTTACTGTTGGGTTCTAAGATTAGTGGATGAAGATGCTACTGTTTATATGAAAAAAATCTATGTTTTATTTTTCTCTCTTAGTTATTTGGATGGAAATCAGTTTACCCTTGTTCCAAAAGAGCTTTCCAACTACAAGCATTTAACACTCATGTAAGTAGTTTTAGACCAACACTCTCTACTAGAATGAAAAATACCCAAACCAACCAAAAAGACCTACTCCATTATACCTGGGTCTAGTTATAAGAAGAAAAGCATAAAATGTATCACATCTTTTAGTAAATATAATACCCAACCACATTTTATAATGGAGGATATTTTATTCTACTTATCACATCCTATGTATAATATACTTGGGCATGTTTTATAAACAGGGTTATTTCATTCCAGTGATTACATCACGGAGTAAATAAGCAGAAATTACAGTTAACCTGAAAAGAGATGTAAGCATTTACAAAATGTGTTAGGGTAATACAGCATTTTGTTATGCAGCTCCATAAAGGCACTAGAATTATTTCATTTACAAAAGAAACATTCTGTGATATTCTTCACTTCCTGGTATGCTTTGTATAGGAATAGCGCATAACAGCTGTTGTCACACTTGAATGCTACCCCTTCTGTTTCTCCCACAATATATGGTTTAATGACCATAGAAGAGAGCTTCTCTAGAACGCCTCACTCCCAACTCTATTGCTGACTCACTCTGTGATTTGAGGCAAATCACTAGCTGCTTTAAAATTTATTACCTCTGCTTCACGAATGATTTGAATATGATTTCTGTACCTTGTAAGAGTACAGTGAGAGAAACAGGAAGACTGTTGATGTAAATGACTGTAATTCCATGGCCTTTGTTAGGACTATAAAAATTTATACCAGCTGAGGTTGAACTGTGTAACATTCTGAAAGCAGTTTGTGGTTTCATTACAGTCAGAATAAAAAGTGGAGGGGAGTAACAAAATCCCTTAAATTCCTTTTTGAATGGGTTTAGAGCTTTTTTGCAAATATTGAAAATGGTTTGGCATTCAAAAACAAGAACTTGATTTCCTTTATTTACCTCATGCTAGACAAACGTGGTCACGGTTACAAATTTAAAAAAATGTGTTTCCAAAACTTCTTGTATTTTGCAAATAACATCAGGAAAAAACCCTTTCAATGTTCTCAAATGTACAGCGTAGAACCTATAGGGGAACTTTGTGGATTTTTAGGGAAGTTACACAAGATCTAACTTGGAGCACACAGAAAATACAAACTTTGGAACTTCAGTACAAGAAGCAAGAGTATAGATTGGACTGTGTGCAGTAACAGTATCAGTGTAGATTGGATATATGTCTAGAGATGAGGTTAATTAGTCACAGTGACAAGGCTTCCATCATAGAGGTTAGGTAATCATTGTCTATTTTGGACAAACACAGCCAGAAATCATATAACTTTATCTCCTACTCAGAAAATACACACAAACAATTTAGCAGACAAATGCAATAAAATTATAGATGAACAGTAAATAAAATGCAACTAAAATGAGCATTAACAATCTGTATTTATCAGACCTGTGGGGCACATTCTTGTAGTCTCTTCTGAATGTATCCTCATACTTCTGTTATGAAGTTGAGAATGTTACTTGGCTGTGTTTTGAAAACCAAGACACTATGCATAGTTCTTATGTGGCCTAACAAGGAATTACATACGAGTGTCCTGAGTGCCAGATAAACAAGGAAAATTGTTTATTTCTAACTTTTTCTTTCTCTTTTAAATAGATTGCTTTGTTATACTTGCTTAATATATTTATTAATAAGAATAAATTGTCTGACATGCTTTCATGAAATTTCAAGGGGATAAATATGTATATTGCATAGCTATTCAAGAATACTCAAGTTAAACAATCAAGGTGCCCTCAGAAACAAATGCTGTATTTCACCACAAAATACAGTAAACAATAGTGAAATAGTCAATATAAAATGAAAACTAAAGCACAGTATGAGAGTAAAGAACAAGCAGTATTCACGTTTAATACAGCTTCTTCAAAGCTTCTTTGAAGCTACTATCTTTGAAGCTACCAGCATACTACTCCAGCTTCCATCATACTTATGCTTAAGATTTTATTCATTAGAATATTGAACAACAAGAAAGATGTTAAGGCTTTCTCTATAAATCTTAGATAGTGTTCTTTATAATAATAGCTCTGGGCTTTGATGTCTTCAGCATGTATGTGTTAAGTAGAATATTAGATGATATTTACTCAGGTGTCATTAGGGACATGACTAGAATGATTTCCACTGTAAAACATCACTTTAATTTCTATACTTGGGTTCATGTAGAGTTGCATTATTAACTCAGTAGCATGATGGACATTGCTGTTGTATAAGAATGCATTGCACTGCTTTTTCATCTGTGTTGAAATGAAAGTGCTTTTCATTGATCAAGCTAAATGCTCGCTGGGCTTGTATATGGCATGTGAAAATAAAAATATGTGCTGCTTTAAATATTGATACCAATGATGATGCTACTTCTACTAATAAAAATAATGTGTCTGTCAGTTTAACTTACAGTGTTTCAGGACTGGGGCAGTCATTTTAAGGTCTGAATTTCTGAATTTATTTTTTATAGAGATTTAAGTAACAACAGAATCAGCACTCTTTCTAATCAGAGCTTCAGCAACATGACTCAGCTGCTCACCTTGTAAGTTTAAAAATGTAACAGTGACTCTTTGGAAGCACTACAGTGGGTTTATTGTCTTGGAAAAAGAGGGCATTTATTTGATATTAAAGCTTGCTTGTTGTGGAGGCTGTAAAATAACGTTTCCTAACTAGCTATATGTGCAAAAGCTGGGTTTGGACACTCTCTGTATTGTTTACTGAATGGCTGATATACTTGCTGACAGTATTTTATATATTTTTCAGAATTCTTAGTTACAACCGCCTGAGGTGTATCCCTGCACGCACTTTTGATGGGTTGAAATCACTTAGGCTGTTGTAAGTATTATTTTTTAACCATTGCTATTTTCCAGAGGTTTTTATTTGTGTACAACAGTTAGCAAATCTGTAGGAAGCCACTAGATTTTAAAACTTACCAAGTATTTGAGAAGTGCTAATTATGTGGCCGTAAAAATCTAAGCTACTTCATTCTAGCAAAGTATACTCTCAAAATGCTGCACAAGAAGTTGTGACCCTGGACAACATTATATATACAAACATACACTTTTTTTCTTCTCTGCTTTTAATCTTGGCTTCTTTTTTGTGTTATGTTCTTCCTTTTTATAAGCATTAAATTCTAAAAAAAAAGCCATATGCATAAATTCTTCAGTATATATGAGGGGAGGTTGCAGTTGAATATTGAATATTTTTGTTCCAACAATACATTTCTTTCTTTGTTGTTTCATTTAATATGGGACTATTTTCAAAACCTTTACATCATGGTTTACTATTGAAAATCAATAAAATTACTTTTGGTTCCAAGAAAACTTTCCATTTTGCCACTAGGAAAAACATGCTTGAAAGGGCACAAGAAAGAAAATAAAGAACAGCCAGTCTAGTTTACAGCTTCAGTTTGTCATTAAGGAAAAAAAACAACCACAAAACTGCAAAAATTCTTTATCAAAAATCCTCAGCAGAACATGTAATTTTTGCTTCCATTTGGGTAGTTTATAACCATTTAATAGCTCATTTGGATTAAATGTCTCAAGCATGACATTATTTAAGTGTGCCCACATAACGTCAATTATTTTATATAAATATGGATATTTTCAAGAACCATAATTCTATATGTGTTAAATATACATGTAAGTGAATGAATTTATAGAAAAGGAGAGATTTTTATGCAGGTTTGCTAGAAGAGAGATAACACTAGTCCCTGTATGGAAGCTTAATAAGGTCTTCAGTTCTTTAAATTTACTATCATATTAGGGCAACAACCTTAATACTTACATCAATGAACAGTCAATGCCTGTATTTTCCATGAATCCATGAAAGATTAAAAAGAAGTATGAACATAATTAATGAGAATTACAGGGAGTTGCTGAAAAAGTCAGAAATAACAACTCTTCCGCTATCCCTAAATCCAGTCAGTACTTTGCAGAAGTGTGCCTACTTTTGCTGACCTTTATACTTTCAATTTAAAAAGAATCATATTATTAACACTTCTTATGAAAATTCAGGATGAAAAAAAATCAATAGGCTTCCAGATCGAGTGTTAAAAAAAAAAAAACAACCAAACCAAACATAGCTGAAAACACTGAGGAACTGTAAGAAAAAAAATCTGAAAAGCTGAAAACTGTTTACCAAAGATGAAATTTGCAAAGCTAACCTGCTGATTTTTGTGCATATGTATTATTCTGTTTATTTTCTTTTTAAGGTCTTTACATGGAAATGATATTTCTGTTGTTCCTGAAGGAGCTTTTAATGATCTTTCAGCATTATCACACCTGTGAGTATTCAGATGGTAACTGTTTTTTTTATGTTACGTTTAGCAAATTTCATATAGTTGAAAAAAGATAAAATGCAAAGGCCTGCTCTGGAGCAAGCTCGTGCATCAGTACAGGCTGGGCCAGAAGGCTAGCAGCTCAGCAGAAAAATTCTCGGCCTCCTGGTGGGCAGCAAATTGAACTTCCAAGTATCCTTATGGAAATGAAGGCTAAAGGTGCTTTGGGCTGAATTAGAAAGTGAGCATCCAGGTGATTGAGGACAGTGGTCACTCCCTTCTGCGTGGCCCTCCTAAAGCCCCATCTGGGATGTGTGTTCAGTTTCTCCAGTACAAAGCAGATGTGTATGAACCAGATCAAATCCAGGGTAGGGGCAACCAAGGTGGAAAGGTGGCTGGATCGTATGAGCTGTGAGGAGAGGCTAAAGGAACTGGGCTTATTTAGCCTGGAGAAGGAGATGCCAAGGAGGGACCTAATAGTCTTTCAATCTCTAAGGGGATTATAGCAATGGTGGAGACAGATTTTTCTCAGAGGTGCACAGTGAGGAACAAGAGTCAACAGTGACAAGTTGCAACAAGGGAAGTTTTGATTGAACATAATGAAAAATTCTTTACTGTGAGGGTGGTTCAGCTTTGAAACAGGCTGCCCAAAGAAGCAGAAGAATCTCCACCCCTGGAGGTTTTCAGAGCTCAGCTGAACGCAGCCCTGAGCAACCCTGCTCTGACTTTGAAGTGAGCCCTGCTTTGTGCAGGAGGGGAGACTAGGTGACCTCAAGAATGCCCTAAATTACTCTATGATTCTGTGTCCATGTCTGTTAAATTGACATTAAATACATGGTATCTGGTTTTAGAACATCATTTGAGGCAATACTTTTCCTGTTTTCAATTTTCAGTGGGAACTTAGAACAAGATACCTATCCGTAAACCTGATTGTGCTTACGGATAGTTATTAAATCTTTGCTTGCAATTGAGGAGTAAGTTGACTAGTGCCTTTAGATATATCTGGGTTTTATGTTTCTGAACAGCTGCCATTGTTAAAAGCTTAATTATCTGCTTCTAGCTCAGTACTGGACATTTACATTTAATTTGCTACTTCTGAGAAATTTGATGATACTGATTAAGCTTTAAGTCATTGATAATTCATTCAAATGCTACTATTAAACTAGCTTATCTGCATGAAATCAGTAAAATTTACATAGATTTGATTGTTGTTGCTGTTATTTTTTTCTTAATGGCTACCAGTTATCCTTACATTCTGGTTTTAGCAGAGCATTTGTGTTACCTCAGTTCAGGCTGAAATTCACTCCTGCAAATATGGAATGGACAAATTCTAGGTATTTCTCCTTGCACGCCACTGGGTTAAGTAATTTTGTTACTACTCTGACTTAAGCCTGATAATTTCTTGTGTTCAGCTGGAAGTATGTGGCAATAATTGAGAGGGCTTCCTACTCAGTGTGGCAGAAAAGAGTGTTTCAGCAGCGGTGGATTCTACTGCCTCTGCTTGCCAAAGATTTTCTTGTATCTTTGGAAGACCCACTGGTCCAAAGTTGTGGAGCAATCTGAAAAAAGTACCGAAATATCTGCAGAAGGAGGGAGTTGTAATACTGCCATTTGACAGTGTATGCCCATGTCAGGATTATCTGTTGAAAATTCTATGATTATTGTATTTCTTAAAAGGAGTATGAGTACATCTTTATAGAATAGCACAGTGCTTCTTTCCGCCAAATTAACTACACAACATATCATTGTTCTCAGAGTTTCAAGAGTGTTTATGGTTTCTAGCAGGGAAAATAGACGCTTACAAAGCCTTTAAAAAAATTAATTCTGAAAATCTCTAGCTAAATTGTCTTTTAATTAAAAAAACCCAGATTTATTCAAAGAAATGGATTTGCTTTCATAGTGGGGCAGTTCTTATGTAACTACCACAAATCTAATGCAGTTTTATTTACTTATGCAGCAGAGACCTCTTACAAAATTCTGCACATAGCTGTGAGTTCAGTGGGAGAGCTCCAAAGAGGAAATAATTAAATCAAATTTGGGAGCTTAGAAACAGATGGTTTGTACCAGCCTGGGAGTCATAAACTGAAAAGGAAAAATATCAGGGTGGAACTCTGTGGGGTTGCCTTGGTTGCTTCAGAAGAAAGACTTTATTTTTGCTTACTTAATTTCCCAGTATCAGTTCCATTCTGCTGATGCAGCTGATCTCGGCCATTACCTACCAACAGGGAAACAGAGCTAGTTCGTATTAGCTCTCCAAAGTTCACACATAATACAGCTAAGAATAGCTAGGTTTCTGGGTCAAGTTTTCTGCTGAAACTGTCACTTCTCCATTTAGAACCCAGATCCAGACACTTCATGCTCTTAGGGTCAATTTGGTGGAGGGAGGGCAGGTTTGTGGTTTGCCAACCTGTTTTCTGGGTTCTCTTTTTAAAAGCACCTATTTAAAACTTTATTACCTTTCTGTCTCTTTGTTTTCCATAGGGCTATTGGAGCAAATCCTCTTTATTGTGATTGTAACATGCAGTGGCTATCTGACTGGGTAAAATCAGAATACAAAGAACCTGGTATTGCACGTTGTGCTGGACCTGGAGAAATGGCAGATAAACTACTTCTAACTACTCCTTCTAAAAAATTTACTTGCCAAGGTACTGTTGTTTTTTTTCTCTTTGAAGTGTCAGTTTTGAATTTTTACAAATAGTTGAGCTGTGAAATAAAAGTCCTGTGTGCTCTAGATACATTTATTATAGCATCTTCACTCAGCCTTGTTGGCATTCCTCCTCATACTGAGGGATGCAGCCATTGGTTCCATTCAGGAACTCATATTTATTTTAAAGACTTCAATACCTGTTGTGTTTTTTTTTTTTTATTTGTTTTGTTTTGGTTTTTTTAAGAGTACATGGAGAAAATAAGTCTTTGGACTTGCAGTACATGGATGTCCATAGGTACTTGGTACTGTCTCAGTCATGAACTACAATTTAAACGTCTACACTTCCCTTAGCCAAAGAATGTCCTTTTCCTTCAGACTGTGTACAGTAAAAACTGTAAATACATCCACAACCCTTGCAGTCTGCATTATCTCAGTGGTACGTAATTGCAGCAATATGTCCAGAATGTTTTCTCTGATATTTCAGAAGAAAGCACAAAAAAGTAGATAAAGAGGTGTGATTACCTCTACAGAGGTCCCACTCTAAAATGTTTGTTATATGGGAAGGTTTCTCAGGGTTTGGACGACAAGTATTATCTCCATGTTGGTACCAATGTTGCTGGCATTTATATCACAACTTATGTTATTGTCTGTTAATTCCTAGATTCTTTTTTGGAACCTTACTGTCTTTTGGTTAGAAAAGTACCATTTTTCCTCATGTGTAAGAGAAAACTTGGGGTTTTTTACTCTTTAATCTTCCTCTATTCCATCCATTTCTCCCTTCTTAAATATTTTGAAAACACAAAAAACTTCGGCTATAGCTTCATTTTTCTTGGTCCTCATTTAGAAACATTGAAATCCCCAATTGGAAAAAAAAAACCCACAACAAACTTTGTGTGCTTATACTTGTAAGCCGTTACTAAGCTTATAGTTATTTCTGAGGCGTCACATAAATGTGATCTTAAGTCTTGTAGAATTAACTTATTCTCACAGTCTAGGTAGTCTTCAAGCTATTTTGATTTATTCATCTGTTAATGTATCTTCAAAAGTGAGCTTAATCCTTTCGTAATTTCTTCCTTAAAAAAGCAATGGGACTTTGTCAGAGTTTGCTTCATCCAAAGTTGTTCTTTACTGCATGTTCATCCTATTTAGTCTTCTCTCCTTAGGCTTTCTGTCAAAAAACTTTTTTGGTAAACAAAACCCACTTGAACCCATTTTGTTGTGTGTGGTGGCAATTAATTGTCTCTCCCTCCAAATCCTTCTTGCAGTTTTTCAACAGTACATCTCTGAGGTCATGCCAGTGTTCATTGCATATGACACTCATCCGTTGCAAAGTCCCTTAGTCTGATTTTAGATAGGATATTTGCTGGCTAATCTGATAATTTTCTCTATAAGCATCCACTGAACATTATTGCAGATACACTCTTATTACACGCTGCTGTAGGGATATAGTGAAAGAATATTTGCAGGGACATGAAGGACTTGTTTGGTTGTTTTCCAGCTATACTGACAATCATTGTTATGTTTCTATCAGACAATCCAGAAAGTATATCTTACTCCATCTTGCCCATCTGAAAATATCCTTTATATTATTATGCAGAGTAAGAACTGTAATTGTTTCACTTCCAAGAGTGGAGATCTGGTATTATGGATATCTTTGAGAGAAAATAATTTTCCCGCCGCTGTCCTATGAAGATGCTCATAATTACAGATTGCAAATCAGCAGCTTTTCAATGACATGATGGCGCTGTAAGACATTATGTGTCTGTTACTCAAAGATAAGTCATTTTGTCTTTTGCTTAAAAGTGAACTGCTGAATAGAAATTAGGAAGATGCTATTTCCTATTAGAACCAAAATTTTGGGCTATGAGTGAGAGGACTGTTTTCGGATATATCTGTTGATGGTCTGCTAATGTGTGTATATTTACAGGAGAAGAGTAGCATGTAATTCCCTCTTATCAGTATCTCCGGATTCAATTGAAAGTGAAATGGGTGCTTGAATTTGACTTACATAATGAATAGTTCCCAGTGAAAATGAGCATTTTTAAATGAAGTCTCATCTCAGTTATAAAACTCCATAAAATCAATGTACCTTACTCTAACTTTATGAATTCTTCTACTCCAGGAACCATCCCTTAGTATTTTCTTCTTTCAGTTGTTTTTTCTAAGTATATGGGTGCCTTTTTCTTTCTTATATGGCCTCTAACAGATTCTCAATCTTTTACTTTTACCCCTTTACCATCCATGCCCTGCTTCTAGAGATTCCAGGGCCTTGTGGTTTTCTGATACCAGGTAAGGTTATAACTAGAATTGGAATGGGTGATCTGATTAAGAATGGACCTTCTGACCTTCCTTTTGTGTACCTCAAGAAGACTTCTTTCCTACAACATGCATGTTTACTGTTTGTTTCCCCCTTTGATGAATTTACAGCTGACTCTTCATGATACATCATTTAACATATTGTATGAAAAGTTTTGTTATTTTAGAAGCCTGGGTTTGAGGTCTGAAAATTATCCAACAGAAATTATTGTTTCTACTGCATTGTACTAAAAGGGGCGATTTCATTAGCAGCTGCAGTGTAAGTGACTCAGTGAAGGTACTGATTTTGAGGCCATAGGAAAGAGAGAATAGGAGTTCCTGAGTCAAAAAAAGTCAGAGCTTCAATTTTTTCTTGCAACAGGTTTCTCTAGAAGCTGATTTTGAGTGTTTGTGTCGTGTTTTTCTTCAGAAATATTAGATAGCCGTGTGTGTGTGTTTCTCAATAAAACACAGTTGGTTTTTCACTGTTTACAAAAGAACACCGCTTATTTTTTTAATTTAAGGATTTTTTTTCCAGTTAGGGCTTATTCAAGAATATATATGTCTACAATATGAAAAACTAAACTATAGCTTATGAACGCAATTCTTTTTCATATACAAGTCTTTTAACACATGCAAGCAGAAAGAGGAAAGGAACAGTATAGTGCAAATGAAAAGAGGTTCCAGAAAAAAGGTTCCAGTAAAAATATCTGAAACATTTCCATTTTTTGATTTTACAACTGAAGAACCATAAATAAAAAACTTAACTTTTACTGGGTACTACATATATAATAGTTTGACATAAACATAGCACAAAATCAGATATAGTGTTTTCTACTATCTTGTTGAGGCTTAGGTTCCCATTTTCTGGCTCTCTTTCAGAAGTGAAATTTAGATTACCAATCCGTTTAGGAAAATAACCTTAGTTACTGAATGTTTTTTAATTCATGCCAAATAATTAGCATTTTGTTGCATAAGTAGAAAAGAGGATACAATGTTCAGAATAAACAGTTGAGGCAAGGAAGCATAGACTTCCAGGCTACAGCACAGTGTTACAATTTATTTATTACTTTTTTTTTTTTTTAGTTTGTGCCTTATTTATTTATTTTTTTTACAGAACCTCTTAATGTACTGTAGAAATCATCAGCAATAGTCTAGAGTACACAGCCAGGACTTTCTAGATGTTAATTCTATGGTGTTTGTTTCAACTCTTTTACCTCTGCTGTTTGCTGGTCTAACAGAAACTTTAATCAGGTATAGATTTCTCTTTCAAAATAAGGTAATGAAGACAAGAACAGTCAATGATCCATATAGACTGTGGCTTTGGCAATAAGCATCTTATCACAGATTACAGTGTTTATCTCTTTGTATTCGCTTGCAAGCTGTGACACAGAAGTGTGCCAGCAACTGCAGATTTAAAAATGGAAAAAAAAAACAAAACCAAAAAACTCAACCTCTCCCTGTCTAACACCCCTTACTGAATCCTTATAATCACCTGGCTTCCTTCCATGCCATCTCCTTTACAGTGACTTATCTGAGATTAATTTTGCGAAGAAAAATTTGTAAAGAAAGTTAAGAAATCTAAGTTAAAAAACAAAAACCAAAAAACCCTTATCTCAGTAAAAGTGCCCTGTTAGCTTGGAAAACTTTTCAATCTATCCATCTGACTCATTTTGAGTAAAACCTGTTATGGAGGAAGCAGGCAGTTCCACCAGTAGGTCTCAGGAGTTTGGGTTTTGTGTTGTTAGAAGGAATCACTGGTTATTCCTTAAAACGTACAGATCATCTGTGGATAACTAAAGGGTTTTCTTCATAGGTGAAATCTGAAAGCAAGTTGGAGACAGTAATGTCATCAAGCAATAGAGCTGGAGATAGTAGAGAATGTATATTCATTCTCTTAATAGGTGCAGTAATCAATCCTTTGTCTGTCACAAAGTGTATAAAAATGAATCATTATTTATACACAGGTGATTTGTAATTTTTAACAAATAACCAGTGATTTCTTTGGTTGTTTGACAAAAAAAAAAATAAAAAAAAAAATAAAAATTGATGGTTCCTAAATTGAAAATTCACCATGAAAAGGCTGTATTAAAATTGTGAAACAACAGAAAAATAAATAAATATATAAAAGATATATAATAAGGATAACATTTATGTAGGCCAAAGCTCTAAGTTTGGCTTCTGAAACTTAAAATTTTGTCAATATTCATTTCTGAATTCTGCCATTATAATCATTAATATAAGAAACTAGACTTCAAACATAGATTGCAGCCCTCATTTGCACATAGATTCATGGTACAGTTTGCATTATTTGTGGGCTCAACTAATGCAATAATGCACAGAACTGTGGCTGACTCCATAAGGGAGCAAGGCGTAATATAGAGCTATTTACGGTGAGATAGCTTGGACAATGCAATTTACATTACAGCTCACAGATGTTCAACCGATTTACAGGTAATTTTACTGGTTCATTTTGCCATCTCTGTGATCCTGCAGATAAAAAATAAATTAAAACAAAAATACATTAAAAATAGTGTTCTCAATAACGCTGTCAAGGGTGGGATTGCAAACTGTGATAGCCCTTTTCCTCACAGGCAATTTTTATTCCCTAAAGAGACAAAAGCTGCAATTGTATTCTTCATTTTGTTAATACAAAGGGAAGGTAATTACCATGGATCAGAACTGTACAGATTTCAGCGAATGGGGATATGGGAATCATTTTGGGGTCAGCTTCTTTTTAAAAAAAAAGTGATAATTAAACCAAAAATTTAACCCCAAGTTTATTTGGTCATGTCAAAAAGAATTAAGGACAGTCCAGCATTCCATTCATATAGAAACACCACAAGGTCTAAAATATAGATTTCATTTTAAAATTTAAAGCAATGTGGCAGATATATCCTGTCAAATATAAATTTGCTGGTTTCTGACTATTGAATTTGTATTTTTAAGGGCCTGTGGATGTTAATATTCTTGCTAAGTGTAACCCCTGTTTATCAAATCCATGTAAAAATGATGGAACCTGCAACAATGATCCAGTTGACTTCTATAGATGTACTTGCCCATATGGTTTCAAGGTAGGTAATGAAGGAAGAGGAAAAAGCTTACTGCAGTGTAAGCTTCTTCGTAACAACCTTTACATTTTATTTGGCTCCCTTCCACTAGTGGCTGTATTTTAGTCCTAAATTATAATTGTTGTTCCCTGCATAGGGTCAAGACTGTGATATTCCCATTCATGCTTGCATTAGTAACCCGTGCCACCATGGCGGAACTTGTCATTTGAAGGAAGGAGAAAAAGATGGTTTCTGGTAGGTTGTTTTTAAGTGTAATAACAGGATGGAAAACTACTGAGCTGAAATAATTTTGGTGTTAATCTTTGGGTTCTCTGTGTCTGCTGGTAAGTGCACCACAAAGGCTGATTTTCAATGCTGCTGAAGTTTTCAGAACATGTCGCCATCCTTGGAAAGCTTCTAAAGCTTCGAAACTGTTAAAAACAATAACAAATGATTGTGATTAGTTAAGGCATATCAGGTCAAGACAACATAGTATTGACTCCATTATGCTAATTAATAGCTAGATAGATCCCTGCTGAAAAAATCTCACAATTCATCTGTTGTCCTGTGTATTACTTCAACAGACAGCATGTAAATGATAAAATGTAAATCCCAGTGAAACAGAAAATTAATGATTCATTTGAAACTCACTATGCCAGCAGATAAACATGCTGTGAGCATTTTTAATCTTGAGTTATTTAATCACACAGTACAATTACTCCAGATGTACTTCATGAATTATGAAATAAAGTTCTTAGCATTCTTATGTGAAATTATTAGTCATTTAATAATCTACACCTCAAGCTTGTTAGAAATGACACTTCAGAAAGATACAATTCATTATCCTGCATTTCATTATGATATTATGCTTATTTTTAATCCAAATTCTGCTGAAAGATTAAATAGTCTTCTATTAAAAATTAAGTGTGTACATCTTAATACTATGCCTCTAGAATTTAAAGTGACAGTCATGTCTCAGAATTTGACCTTTTTAATTTTTGTTTAAATGCTACGTATCTTGAAAATCAAAGCAATCTTATATTCAAACCCACAGAAATTATAGATAGTGCATTTTATATGAAAATGTATGTGTAGTCATGTTTGAGTGATCTTTTGCATTTACTATCTATTTTGATATATTTATTTTGTATAAACAAAAGTAAAAGCAAAAAAAAATTACTGCTTTGTAGAGTTTATATAGGCTTTGGTTTTATGTAGTAATGCATGTATTGTGCATGGAATGTTAAGCAGAGCTTTGTATTGGTGCATTTAACTGAATGATAGTGGAATACTACTATTACATAAGAATTGCTGATTCCACAGTCTTCCATGTGTTTAACTTTAAAAAAAAAAAAAAAAGGATCACTTCCCATAAGTAGTATAATATAATCTTGTAATACAAAGGTAGCACACTTTTCAAAAGGAATGTTCAGTGATTTAATTTAAGCAGCTCCTTAAACTAAAATTTAGAAGCCTTTTTTTCTGTAATTTAAAATACAAAAAAGAAACATTTATTATATGGTGTTTTACATTATAACAACCATGTTCCTTTATGGGATAGTGATTATGCATTATTGTACTTATTATTTACAGAACTTCTTGTCTGGTGTCCCCAGATAAAATGTCCATGTGGTTAGTTTTGTTTTCTGTATTACAGGTGCACTTGTGCAGATGGATTTGAAGGTGAAAACTGTGAAGTAAACGTTGATGACTGCGAAGATAATGACTGTGAGAATAATTCTACTTGCGTGGATGGAATTAACAACTATACTTGCCTTTGTCCACCTGAATATACAGGTAGGAGTATAAGAGAAAGTACAGGTAATTCAAGAATTCCTAGCTGAACAGTAATATTTTTCAGTTCGTAGGTGAGTTAGTAATTATTTTACAATTGACTTAAAGCCAGGTTTCCCTCCATATTTCTCTCCTATATGGTTTGTAGTCAAAAGTAAACTTAATGCCCACTCATTAATTCCTTTGTTAGTTTTGAAATTACAGCTTGTTGATATTTAAAAGTTCATTCAAAATGTGTCCCTCCTTACTGTTTACCTAACCCAGACACCCCAGTGAAGAACCTCTGTAGCTGTAGAAATCTGAAAAATATTCTGCTTTTATCCTGGTATACCTTGTATCCAGAAGAGGATCTGTCTGTGCCAGTAGGAAGCTGAATTTGGCACCCCTGGATGCTGTCCTGCCCTCTGTTAGAGACATTAATGCAGAGCATGATGCTTTCTGTTCTAGCATGAAAAAAAAAAAAAAGAAAAAAAAAAAAACAAGAATCATTAGACAGCATCTAATTATTTGTTTCTATCGGTTGGCAGCCGGGCCAAAGTGTTCCCCCCTCTTTGAGACAGAGGGTCTCTTGCTTGCTGTCATCATCCCTGTGGGAATGGAGGATAGTTAAAACAGCAACACTGGAGAACAAGAAGTAGGATCTGTTGTTTACATTGATCTGTTTTATAGTTTTTCTAAGTAGACAGATCTATTTTCTGTCAGCTAGGTGGCCACTACAAGAATCCAGAGCTTAAATTCACAAAATCATGATCTGAAATGCATAAAAAAGAAATGTGAAATCCACCATAACTAGGGAATTAACTCCAACTCACTCATTTTTACTTTAATCAATCCTATTGTTTCTGTCCTATGAGTTTTTCACTATCCCCAGGGAGCACTAAATTTGAGTTCTGGAAAACTGGGAGGAGAGGTGAACTCCTGAATTGATTTAATTTATTGAAAACATAGCTGACCCCTTTTTAATCCAAGGTATTTCCATCATTAGTTCTACAGCATATTGGATTGCTTAAATGTTTCAGGCCATTCAAATTTAAAATCAATATTTAAATCTTGGAAACCCACAGTGAAGGAAGATGATAGAACACAAGTATAAGAAATACAACTTCATAACCCAATATATGTATTCATCCGGTACTTATACTGGGTAAATGTTTGGTAGAAATTTCCCCATATAGCATAGGCTGCAATTCTTACAGCAATACAAGTTAAAAGTATAAGTCACCAGAATAAGATATTTAATAATAGGTGGATGGTCCACATCTGGAAGAACAGACATAGTCTTCTGCTTAGACAAAATACTGTTTTGCCAAGTACTGATACCTTAATACCTAACAGCAGTTGGCAATTCAAGCCTTAGAAACAAATAATAACTAACAGCATCAATAAGTAGAGACAGGTGTTTGCTATTTCTCCTATAACTATTTTTCAGCTATATGTGAGTCAAGCTTCAGTTCCCTTGGGATCAATTGCTATCTCCTTTAAAAGTGTGATCAGATAGTCTACTGTGTAGGCTGGAAGAAAGCAAGCCAAAGTCACATGAGTCCAGCATTCCTCTTAGTAGCTTCACGCTAAGAGGTTTCATATACCTGTTAGATAGGAAACAACTAATTTACACGTGCATTCCTCCTCTGCAGCTTTGCAGGTGTTTTTACCCGTGTCATTCATTTCTTCATTTTCAACATTGCTCTAGATGCATTTAACTGCTCGAGTCAATAGCTTGCTGTATTCACAGTATGCCATGGGAAGGACTGTTTTGTATTAAATATCCATGGAGTGGATACAAAGGCTTGTTTATATATGCTAGCTTAAAACTTTGATTAAGTGTGCCTGCTGCATTTCTGTAGTATTGTGATTGAAATGTACATTTTACATTCACAACTGAAACAGTAATTGTAGCATTTCTCTATACATCTATATGGTTAGAGCAAAAATGAGAGCATAAACATTGGTAACATTTTTGAGGTTTGTATTGTAGTTGTGCTTCTTCAGTCAAAATACAAAAAAGTGGGTTTTTTAATTTGATTCATAATTGTGCATAATTCTAAAAGGAAAATACTATGAGTTTATACACGAAGTGTTTTTGTTTGCTAACTGTAATTCTTTCAGAAAGAGATTTGCTTTTACAGATGCAATGCCTACTCATGCTCCTGAAGTCAGTAGGTCATGTGAGTAGGTTAGAATCTTCTCACCAGCTCTAAAATAAATCAATCTACTTGTAATCAGAAAGTTTAGCTGTTCTGTTTTTTAAAAAAATGTTGAGAATTTACACTCTCATCAGATGTTTTTTCAACACCTTACCAAAAACAAAGATACCTGTATTTTTTTAAATGTACAACACCAAAGCCTCAATGCATTTTATAGATAAGCTGGGCAAAAATTGTAGCAAAGTTCATGTTTTTCATTCCACAGAATACAGTACAGAATTCTACAATATGCTATTTATATTACAAAGCATCTGAGTATAGGACACAATATGTGAGATCCTGAGTCATTTTTGAGATTAATTGCAAAGGTAAAATATAAAACATTGAGCTAGTCAAGGGGTCTTCACGTCCATCATCCTTGATTTTGCATAGTAATTAAATAACTTTCAGTGTTGAGAATTAGATTGACAGTAGTCTGGACACATCAGGATCTAGAAATGGTAGTGTTCAGAATATAAAGTAATCTTACAGTTGCCTCAAATGTGTATGAGGTAACAAATTATTTATGGGATTTTTTTTTTTTTTTTCCTCTGGCCTGTAGCCTAACAGAAATCCCTGTCCACTATAGATACAGTGATTTTTCATGAGGAACTTTGTAAACACATGGATTTTGGTATCTGTTCTAACAGGTTAAAATCAGATATGCGTATTGCTAATGTGTTTTTTTTAATGAAAGGACTAAATGAATTCATGTAGTAGCTAGGCAAAAGTAGGTTAACAACCAGGAAAAACAGGCTATATATTCAGTAGGTTAAAAGATTTTGAAACTCAAAGATACTTATCTCTAGCTCAGAAAGTCCCTGAAGCTGTAAATTGCTGGAGACTAGGACAGTATACATACCAGGAAAATACCACCATAGGCTTGTCCTGTTCTCTTTTAATTCTGTTGGCAATACTTCAAATTGTCTGTGTTCAAGATGTCACAGCATATATGTACTGAATGTGGAAGTGCACCAGCCCAGAATATTTCTCTGGGTGAATGGTTATCTGCAAATGTGCTTTACATCTCAGTAGCACAGTAAAAGGAAGAAGTCAGCTAAAACCTGGTGGTATGAAATGTAAATTGTTCTTCTTTAAAGTTTTATTTTCATATGGAAGGCATATTAGAATCTCAAATTATCTCTGAAAATACATACAAAAACTATGAAAAATGTTGTAAATAATGTTCCAGTGCAAAACCAAACAGTAATCCCTTGAAAATTGACACTTCTAAAGTATGCAGTGTTGATTTAAAAACAAACTTTAAAAAAGCTTATTATTTTGTTGTTTAAGAATCAGGTAGCCATTTGTGTCTGCCTCAGTTAAGTTTTACAATTACCTCCACAGTTACAGGTGGAAAGGCAAAGAATGGTATTTGCACTATACGATGAGCTTTCTTAAAATCATAGACTGTAAATCTGAAACAGTAAGCAAATGGAACTGGGACACTCAAGAGTGTCTGATGAAACCTTGAAAAATAAAACTCTGAAAATGCCTCACTATGTCCTGCACTCTTTAACCTCGCTATTCTCTTAACATTATCATCTCCTTTATTTTAACCTCAGTCTAGTAAACTTCAGGTCATTTTGTGTACATTCTATAGATTACAGATGATCATTTCTCTTGCTCATTATCATCACTCATTAGATCACAGATCTGATTGATCCGGAATTAAAACCTTTCTTATGCCACCAGTGGCATGTACTTCTTACCTTTTCTGTTTGTTTTGCTCTGCTGTAGGTGAGACTCTGAAGCTTGCTTCATTTTGCTATATCAACCTCTCTGCTGCTATAGTTGTGCATTAGCTTAATGTGCTATGCTGTTGTATTACAATGTAAAAAGTCTCTTGTCTCTTCTGTCTTTGTCACTGCAAGCTGCTAATCTGAATGAAGTGGAAAAAGGTCAGTTGTCTTTTAAGCCTATTTTCACTTACTTTGGTTTCTCACTTTCCTTTCCTTAAAGGTGCATGGATTTCAGCTCTTACAAATGATCAAATAAATATATAGCTATAATTTAGAAAGCTCAATGCAAATCCTCAAATTAGGCCCTTGGCTCTTGCTGTGAATTCATGTCAGAAGAATGTTGTTGAAGATGCGGATCGCTGTGCAGGAGTACTTTAATACTACCTTCATTGTATTTTTTTCAGATATATTAAAAAATTGTGCAGCCACTGATAGGACTGACAAAAAAAGTTTACATGGTGATCTTCTGAAATCTTTATTCTCATCACCTTAAAGACATACCTTGGTTCCGTTCTAATGTATTCTCTGTTTTTATAGCACTGTTTTGCTTTAATTTCTGTGTTAGATTATGGTACTAGAAAATATGCTGGAGTATAAAATCTTCTTGCTCATCATTTCTGTGGCCTTTTTTTGCTGTAAATATCTATAGAATCTGAAACGATTAAGCTGAGGCTATGGTACAAGAAAGGTAATAGTGGAGGGATTTATGACACTAACTTTGGGTATTCCTGTTTTTTATTTTTTTTAAGTTTCTGCCTAACACCTGTCTTTCAGAGATAAACCATCTTCTGTACAATCTGATCATCTATATAATCTGAGAGCTAACGTAATCATGACAACATATTTATGAAGCTACATATTTAGTTTGAAAAAGCAAATGAATCCTCTTGTAGTGTATTTGCTATTAATTTGATAAATATATTGTGCATTTTATAAAGCAATAACTGTAACTGATGGAGAGAACAAGACACTTCCAGGAAGTGATTCCATCCACAGATGTTCCATGCTTAAAGCTGTAGTCCATTTAGACATGTTGCTCTATTTGCATTTTATTATTACTTATCTGGACAGCAAAGGTTTTATTTCCCCTTATCACTTTCCAAATTATTTTTTCTACATTGTCCTGTTACTATCCCAGTATGAAACTGGTTGATTTTATAAAAGAATACTTTTGCCTAGAAAAAACTAGAAAAAGTGCAAGCTCAGCATAAATAAATTACAGAATTTTAGGATTTACTTCTGGAAATTAAAAGAAAAACTTAATCTCTATGTTCATGTAAAATACCTTTTCAAATGGAATGTAAAGGGAAGATGCTACTATGAAGAGGGTCAAGTCTCCATTTCAAGTTGAAGCAGCTGTTACCTGTGTATAATTAGTCTTGCTGATCATTTAAATGTCTTTAAAGTGATTAAAGGTAGAAAGGCAATGAATCCTAAACAGAACTGTAGTCACTGTAAATGTATTACACAAGTGTGAACTATAACATATTAAAATTACTGATTATTTCAAGAACAAATTTCTCACAAACATATTATCAAACACTCAGGGGATGTGAACTAAGTTCAGCACCAGAATTAAACAGATGTGTATGTGATGCATACTTGTATTAGCTTGCCAGCTGAACATGAAAGTTATTAATGGTCTATAAGTTGCTTGGAGAATCAGTCATTTTTATCGTAACAGACATCTTTTGAACTGTGACATTAGTAGGAAAAAAAAGGCATCATTTTAAGTAATCATCTCATTTTAGGCAAGCCCTAGACACAGATATATATTTTTTGCATATATTAGAAAACTTCATTACTTGGACTTCTTGCTACTACAATAAAGGAGTTGAGTTACTACTTTCAATTCACTTGGTAATCAAATAAGTACCTGCCTAAAATTTAAGCATGCAAGTAATCAAATACAAAACATGTCATATCAAACTTGATAAAAAGTTTAATTGTTTCATTAAATCAGGATCATAATCCTTATTCTTGATAAGTGTTACAACTTCTTAGAACAGAGAGATACCTTTGCTACTATTGCTTTTCACCACTCATTGTAAAATTTTTTCATCTAGCTTAATATATGTCAAATGACTATTCTATATTAAAAGCTTGAGTATTAAAGTAGTTTTACTGCGTTTTCATAAAGGGGGAATATACATTATATCCTTGGCAAGCTGAGCTACCTGCTACTAGTTTGATCACTGCTGTTACTGATTCTGGTCTATGATCCATCCTTTTGTTTTCCTTAACTGTCTTACAGCTAACCTGCCTTAAAATTACTATTTCTTTGTTATTGCCTAACAGCATATGTAAAACAACTAGAAATGTTAAACTAAATAAGCCCCATCTTACACGGAGATCCACAAGCATGGTGCATAGATGAACAGAGTTAAGCAATGGTGAAGGATAGGAACAGTCCAGCAATGAATCTGATCTAGAATTTGACTTTAAAATTAAATTCCCACAAAATGTTCAGATTTGTGGTTATAAACTGCATCCTGCTGTGAATTGTAAGCAACTTTGTCCCTCATATAGTAGATGTTTTTATTTGTCTTTTCTGAATAATGAGCTCAAGACTTTAAATAATTTATGTTGTCTACTGTTGATCAAACTCAAGACTTCTAAAAATGCAGCATTTTTCTGTATATAGTTTGTTAAATGGCACTGACGTTTTCCAACCACTCCTACACTCTATTGGCTGTTTAAGTCAGAAGTAATTAAACAGAGACCTCAGATAATAATACCTGATTGATAAAACATAAATACTGCAGAAGTTGACTCACAATATATCGCAACCAAGCTGAGCAGCTGGAATGGACATATATTTACACATATGAAATCCTGCTATTCTAGCCATTACCAGTAATACATATTTGTTATTTGAGCTTTGGAACAGCGAATAAGTCTTCTAGAAAAACCTGATTTTGATAAATAAAACTGACCATTCTTTCTCTTGCATTGTTTCTAGGTTTTTATTCTAACAGCATACTCAGCTTTGCTAATACACTAGTGACTTTAAGCTTGTTTCTTCAGTGAGCTTGCCTGTAATTAGCAATGTGCTATTATATTCAGAAGCCTGTGTCTGTTTGTGTTAGAGATGTCCTCGTCATTCAGAAATATAATGGCTGACATTGCTTTATTGGACTGTATTTTGAATTTATTGCCCAATTACTCAAAATAACAATGATGTAAATGCTTTCTCATCTCATTGCATTGTTCCTTATTATTTATTGTACTACCTGACTTTATATATTGGAAAATCCAGAGTTAAGTTTTTCTGTGATTTATAATCTCATCAGGTCATAAGAGTGAATTAACATAGGCAGAGGAAACACAAACTGACCCGTGAATCTAGAAAACTTACCATAACTTTGGTTAGTTAATCAAGGATTGCACACAATTCACCATTAGTATTTAATAGTGTTGTCTGGCTGCTTAAGTCTGCATCGTCCTCTATATGTAGCTGCAAAATCTCAGTAAATATTCCAGTCTTGACCTTGGATGGTTGTGTTCATTTGGACTGTGCTGACCATGCAGAGTTCCACTGGTTGCAGTGCTACTCCATACCAGAATCCAGACTCCCTAGATTAATTAAGCGAGATGTCTTATGAAAAGAGTTATTGCTGGTTCTAATTAAACTTTGGAAGCTTTTCATAGGTTTTCTGACACTTTATCCACTGCTTATTTTTAAACAAACTAGTCTGTTGCTTATTTTCCTACATACTGAAATGTTCCCATCTTCCAAAAACATAATTACTTAGCCAAGCTCTTACAGAAGCCTCAGTTACAATATTATTAGATGAATAAAAGAATGTACACACACATTGGTGTCAAGCTTCCTTGTATTGAGACATTTGTTTCACAGTCTTTCTTCATTATTTTGAAGTATGTTTTTTAAAACATTGTATTATGCTTCCCAAATCAGGGAACCGTCTTAACGTTTACTTCCAGTAAATGCAAGGAGCCTAACTTGGGAAATCTGATATTTCCTTCAATGAGTGTTTCACTTTCATCACTATCTTTTCATTTCAAGAAAATTACTTTCTCCCCTTCACCTTGTCTCAGTTGAATTCTGAAGAACAGATTGGTTATCCAGTGCGCTAAAAGAGACGTTGCTGTACCAGGGAACTATTCTTCAGTGGTTCAGATTCCATCACATATTTTTACTCACCTTTTCTATTAGCTTTTTTGCAAACAGTTATATTTTGGTTATGAGAAAGCTTCATTCAGAATATAAATCTGTTAATAGTGCAAATGAAGACCTCGCATTTGGGTTACTTTAGTTTGTTCTGGTATTTATTTTCATTCAGAAATTCAGTGTCTGTTGTACATATTTTGGATTCAATCTAGAATTTTTCTTAGTTTTCTTTTTACTGATCCTTTGTGCAAGCCTGTCATGAATTCTACTCTTTCTTTATAATGAAGGTTTGTACTTTACGTAAACCTGACTTTTTTGTTCATAGTTGGTTTTTTGGGGTTTTTTTCACATTTGTATTTCACTGCATGGACCGCCATGTTTACCATTGTCCTTTCCCTGATCTGTGTTTCCTTCTCTAGTTGCTAGCAGACTGTTTAACGGAAAACTCCCTCCAGTGATATGATTCTGACTTCTTTCACAGTGCATAGAATTTGCAAATGCAAGGGGAAGCTTTCCTTCCTCTTACGCTGCCCCAGCACGAAATGTCCTGTCTTTTAAAGACAAGTGGGGGGTTATGTTTCAAAAAAAATCCATTGTTTCTCCTCTTTTTCAGTCTGTGTGCTTTTCTATAGAGTACGCAGATCAAAGTCTGACCATAATCTCAAAAACACCTGATGATGTTTGCAAGCCATTTGGCTGCAGCAGTAGACCTGGTAGTGTAACATTGATCTTATGATTTGTAGTGGACATTTTTCAAGGTTGTAAGCCTGTTTCAAAGTTAAACTTCTAATTTGACCCTCAGTCTCTATGCAAGATTCACAGCTATGCATTGGGAATTAAGATTTTTCAAGCGTCCCTGAGCTTTTCACAATGTGATTCAGCTTTCAGTGTAGTTCAGAAGATATTAGGGCCATCATCTTATGACAACTAAAATGCAGTGTACTTTATCTAAATAAGAAATCATGTATTTTATAAGTACCTGGTGGGAGGGAGGGGAAAAAAGTTGACAGCAATAGTGAGATTGCTTGCTCCTTTTAAAAAATTGACAGGCTTAGACACTACTCAGTAAAGCTGTTTGCCACACAAGAAATTTCAGAGGTCTGTGCCAATAATAATCTAAGCCATGTCCCAATTACTATCCTGTAGCAAAATCAATGCCAGTTCAGTAAAGTTGACAGCAATAGTGAGATTGCTTGCTCCTATTATGCCAGTTTAATTTGCCTTTTTCTAGGTATTTTGGGGGGGGTCCACTAAACTTTTACTGTGATTCTAACTAGAGACAGCAAACTTTTAGCCCTGCTTGAAAGACAGGCTCAGTATGTCACTTTCAGAAAGTCTCTGATATACTGTTAGAATTAATAGTCTTGGGAATGTTTAGAGGTGTTTTTGTCCAAGACTTGTAAGTACTGAACACTCATATTTTTATTATTTCTAATCGGGGTGTCATGTATTTTGCAGTTCTACATGTAATTTAATGCAGATTGTATGCCATAATAAGATATGTGTATGGGGGTGTATATATATAGATGCATATATACATACATATATGTAGGCACATATATACATTTCTAAGCCATAGGAATACGTATAAACTAGGCTAAAAAAAACAGTGATTTTTGCTTATTCGACTCCATGTTCCTGAAAATCTGAATTCTTTGTTCCCATATTTATATCTAACTCTTAAATGTTGCTGGCCTTTAAATGGATTTCAGCTATTACAACAAGTTCTGCAAATTGACTAAATGCTATGCGAAGAATTGCTTCCTCTTATATATGTATGTTTGAACAAAACCCTTTGAAAAGAGCAAGGGATCTGGTTTTTGTTTGCTATATCGTGGGATGCAAAGAATCCCTGGTATTTCAGGATTCTTTGTGCACTGACCTAGTCATAACAGTTGCACGTTTCCAGACTAATAAGTCCATTGAGAGTTTGAAGAGGCTTTGAGGATAGAATTAAAACCCTTTGTGTTAGTCATCTTCAGTGGCCTGCATTTGATCTTCGTTCAGTTTCCTACATACATTGACTAAGTCACATTGTCACTGACAGTTTTCCTGAGGACTGTTAAGCAGCCCATGCTTGAAGGCCATTTTCTTGTGTTAACTCAAAGCTTTATTTGGTTTTGTGGAGAAAACACAGTACTTGCAAATTGGTAATGTGCTATCAATTTTTTATTTTATTTTTATTTTATTTGTGTAGAACCAGTCTGGATCTTTTGGATGGCTGCAACGTACTCATCTAGCTGGTTTTGGCTTCTCTTCTAATTTTTGAGGATGTAAAGGTCCCATGTTTTATGACACTTAGCATACGTGTTTCAGATGTGTATTTATCCAGCATAACCATCTTTGGCTCTGGTTCAGTTTTGCCTTTTTCTCTGTTCTTGCTTTAATGTATACAGTTCCTCAACTCTTTTGAGTTCTTGCTTATTTGTCCATCATTTGAAATAAGCTCTATGTACCTTAAGAGATAAGTCCTGAAAATAATGTCTCAAGTCCTGAGTAGTCTGTACTCATATTCACGACACACAGTTTTAAATGCTAGTATGTAAGCACACTTGCTGTGGAAAGGACAGATTTCTCTGGAGGATCTATTGAACCTGTAAAAAAAGAAAAGACAGGCAAATAGTCCTTTAACTATCTATGGTTGCTTTCAGTTTATTATGATGTGTAGTTCTATAATTCCAGAGAAGCCCATGTAAGCAAGAAGGCAACTTCTGGTGGTGCTACGCACTTGGCAAGGAACAGTGTAAAATGACAGAAACCTTATTGCTTAATGACAAGTAGTAGCTGATGAGCTGATACACATACACACACATGTGTGTGTATTCTTTAACGATATCTTCATTCATATACTGTCTCTAAAATCTCCATCCCAATGTTATCATATACCTTTCTCCATTTTTCCATTCTTACCTGTCCGTGATTCTACCCAAATTGTGTCCCTAAATGGTCTGTCCTCCTTTCCCAGTCCCGTATTCATGGTGGTGCTGTCCTTATCCTCAGTACTGTGTTAACAGTCACAGGAAAGAGGTGAAGCCATTATATGCTATTTTAATCTCAAGCTGCCCTCCAGCAGATACTGATTCTTATGATAACTACACTGCCAGCCATTACCACACTCGGATAACTAAACCCGAGGGGTACCAAGTATTGTGCCTCTTTGAAGGAAAGTTCAGCTTGAGCTGTGAAAGTATCTGCTCATCCACTGCTTTCTTCTGCTCTTTTCTTCCTCATGCTGGTATATAGTTCTGCTTCTCTTTGCTCACTAGCTCATCTTTTATTACTTGACAAATGACAAGGGGCAACCCTAATCCTCCCATAATTTTAGGCTCTGATAGACCTGTGAGTCCCTAAATTCACCAGGCACGGGGTTTATACCTGTGAATTACACATAAATTCTTCATGTGGATGCTGGAATAAGTAAACTGATAAACGTTGCACGTCCACTATTCATGGTATCTTCTGATCAGTTTGTCAGGAAACAAGACATTGTTGATCTGTTTATACACCTGTAAGTGTTTCCTTGTCATAAAGTTGTAAATGAAATAATAATCAAATCATATTGAAGTACTTAATAAAGATTGTACAGCCCATGTTGGAAATTAGATCAATTGTTAGGCTTCTAGCAGCAGGGAAGGGTAGACATTTGACAATTTTTTTTCTTTTCTTTTCACAGAACAGATTATAGGTAATTATGGTACATTAACAAATGCAAAAGTTAGAGACTCATATTTAAGAAAAAGTAGAAAGCAAGTTTTCATTCTGGGTTGATTGCAGTTGTATTGACATGCAGTGATATTAACGGCTTTTTTCCAGGTAATAGATTACTTACTGTGCAAATCTGGGTATTTCTGTGTGTAATGAGCTTAGACATAAAGAAGAGAAAAGCATATGGATGGCTTGTTTGTCCTGGTGAGAAGAAATTCAATCACTAGTGTTTTGCTGTACAGCAGAGCTAGATAGATCTTCTAAATGAAAAAATATTTTTTCTCAAAATTGTCATTGGTATCCATGGATAGACGATTGACATTGAAGTTGTTGGGTTTTTTTATAAAGGTGTTATCAGAAATATTAGTATTGATTTTTATTATGTATTTATTTATTAATTGGTATTTAATATAAAGGTAGTATACATGATTATATCATGAAGTATGCATTTTTCAGTTGAACAAAGTTGTAGCTGTTACTTTTAAAATAGAAACAGCTACTTTCAGGTCACTGTGATATTTTCACTGAATTGACAGCATACATTATATTTCAGGTGAGCTCTGTGAGGAGAAACTAGATTTCTGTGCTCAGAACCTGAATCCTTGCCAGCATGACTCAAAGTGTATCTTGACACCCAAAGGATACAAGTAAGTCTAAAATATTGTCACAGTCCAACTGAGTCTAAATTTCTAATTTTTTATCCTGCTTAACTTCTTTTCCTTTTGTTTTAGTGGAAGCAAATTCTATTCTCAAAATACTAATTTCAGTTAGTATCAAGCATTACAGCAAAACAGGCTGTTATTTTCACATACAACTACATTATTATCTTAAATATACTAACTTTTATGGATCCTTAACAGGTCTAATTCCAGTCAGATTTTAAATAGGAACACAGAGTACAGCAGTTAGTCTATGTGACAGTCTATACAAACCCCTTTTAGTAGCTTGGACAGTGGGAAAATAATTGCATTTAATTGAAGTGGAATAATTATACTGCTTTCTGAGAAGTAATTATGAAAGAGATGATTGGGAAGGCACACTGGAAGGTACAAACTACAGTCATCCAGCCCCAGGAAAACTAATCTTTAATTACACCATATCCTTATCATAATTAATTAGTATGTACTATTTAAAGTGGTTTTAATAGGCTTTAGGTTAATAAATACAGGAAACCTGCAGCTTTCAATTGTTGTCATAAGCACCTGTTTTATGCACAGTATGCTCTTGTGCTAAAATCAGATTATTTATTATTGTTGCTACTGCTTATGAAACTATATTTTATTTAAAATATGGATAAAATAGTCAAATACATTAAATATTCAAATGAACATGACATGAAGTTTATAGTTTTCAACTGGAAAATAGAAAACTTGTTGGATTTAAATTGTTGTGTGTTACGTTTATTTTCTTCATGCCACTTGAGTAAACCTAGTTTGGCATCTTATACTTTACTGCCACTATGAGGGTGGTGAGGGACTGGAGCAGGTTGCCCCTAGAAGCTGTGGATGCCCCATGCCTGGAAGTGTTCAAGGCCAGGTTGGATGGGGCTTTAAGGAACCTGGCCTGGTGGAAGGTGTCCCTGCCCATGGCAGGGGGGTTGGAACTGGGTGATCTTTAAGGTCCCTTCCAACCCAAACCATTCTGTGATTCTATGATGAATCTTCCATGTTACTTCCTGAGATTTTACATCAGAAAACAGCACAAGCAGTAACTTCAGGCATGTATCTCAGTCAGCTTTTTAATAGTGTGTTCTGTATTCTTTTTTCACTTTCCTTATTCATACATGTTGAATAAAAATTGAGACATTTGATTGAAGTATTTAATTTAAAGTTACATAGCTATTTAAAATCACTCTTGGCACGTCAGAGCAAATTTTAGATCCTAAACCAAGAAGGGAATCACAAGATCTAATGAAAACAGTTACATGCATCTTAATGTAAAAAAAATAAAATCAGGTGGATCTGTAATCCTTTCCATTCATCTTTCACAGAGTTCTGGGCATTCACTCAGTCTAATGTATGAGAATTCCTTGAAGAAATGCCACTAGCATTAACAACAGGAGTTGCGTGTAGGAAAGAAAAGAAAAAAAGAAAAAAAAAAAAAAACCAAACCAAAATGCAACATTACATGCTGTCTTGAGGATATGCTGTTTCTTGTTTGGTGGGGGCTCAGGGAGGGCAAAGGATGTGTTTTGAGACTTCTGTTAGTTCACTAACCATGGAGCTATTAATAGTAAATGAGGCTGGTGGAACTTCAGGGGGAGAAATTTATGCATAAACTGTATAAATGGAGCATTGGTCCATTCATAGCTGTTCAGTTGTCACAGAAAATATCCGTCACTGTAATACAAGCCTTCGATTGGATTATTTGTCTTGGTTTCAGCAACTAAGTATATTGCTTATTTTTAGTGTTCGCAGCCACTTACAACATCCTGTAACATTCTGCATTACTCATAAATTCCAAGAACAATTGTCAAAATGATTCATGAGGGCTCTCTAGATTTAAACCACAATTCTTCAATATAATGGCAGATGACTAACATGTATAACTAGCAAACCTGTATTCATTACGTATGTAGATCCCCCATATAACATGATTAAGCTACATAGTCTTTACACAGAAAGTAACAGTAATGCATTTTTTTTCTTGAGTTTTAAACAATTCAGTAGTTCCTTAACTTTGTCATAAGCACGCTGTACAGTTAAAAGCCACTTGCTTTCCTGTTTCACAGATGTGATTGCACACCTGGGTATGTAGGTGAGCATTGTGATATTGATTTTGATGACTGCCAGGACAACAAATGTAAAAATGGAGCGCAGTGTACTGATGCAGTTAATGGATATACATGTATTTGCCCAGAGGGATACAGGTGAGAAAGATTTGAAGACAGTACAAATGTGTATCTTTTGTCTAAGTTGCTTTTTTTTCGGAAATACTAATTTTTTTCTGTTTGTATTTAGTGGCTTGTTTTGTGAGTTTTCACCACCAATGGTTCTACCTCGCACCAGCCCTTGTGATAATTATGAGTGTCAAAATGGAGCCCAGTGTATCATAAAAGAGAGTGAACCAATCTGTCAGTGTTTATCAGGCTACCAGGGTGAGAAATGTGAAAAGCTGATCAGTATAAACTTTGTCAACAAAGAATCCTATCTACAAATCCCTTCAGCTAAGATACGTCCCCAAACCAATATCACTCTGCAGGTAAGATTGCTTGTGTGGCACATTCTGATCTGGAAAAGAGTGTAAATGACTTTTCATGTTGTGGAAAATAAGCCCAAGTTGTTACCGGCTCACTTACAGAGCTTTTCATAGCTTGAGCTAAAAATCTAGAAGAGTCACTGGAATGACTCTATATTCATACTGAAGTAGATGGGCTTATCGATAGGAAGAGAAATAATTTTGTCAGGTTGTCCCTTGAAGGAAGAATTTTGTGGTGAAGTAATAGACTATGGTAGTAAATACAGAGATTCACTTAACACAGCATTTTGATTTACTATTTATTTTTAGTTCTTTCTAAGTCTTTCTTTCTTTTAACTAGATTGCCACAGATGAAGACAGTGGGATCCTGCTCTACAAAGGCGATAAAGATCATATAGCGGTGGAGCTGTACCGGGGTAGAGTGAGGGTCAGTTATGACACAGGATCTTATCCAGCCTCTGCTATTTACAGGTGAACCCAGATGAAGCAAATTTCTAACTGAAACAAAACATGTATTAATTCCTTATACCATAGTCACATTTCTTAATAGATGGTTGAAGTAAATATATGCAAATGAATGTGTTGACAGACATTTAAAACCTATTGCCAGAAGACATGATTTGCCTTGGAAAATAACTCTATGGCAGATATGTCAGAAAGTTAATATATATTTGATCCATTAAAACTGAGTAAGAGTTAGCTTTCAGCAGAATATTTATACATTTGTGTAAAGCTCACGTGTGGAAGTGGCGTTTTTTCCATGAACTTACTGCCAAATAATTTCCTAGTATGCAGGGTAAAGTGCAGAACTATACTGCATAAGCAGAAATGAGATGGAAGTTTCTCTTCTCTTCTGTGTTAGGCCATCATATAATGTGGGACTTTTCCCTGGCAAGTGAAGAGAAGGCTAAAAACTTGATTCTGAAAAAAGGCACTATCCTTGAAAAAGAAATGGTTTTTACTTCTAAAGTCATTAAGAGACAGAATCCACATCTGCCTCTGGAGCACTATTTTTCAGGGTTTTTTAAAGTCAAGTTTTTCTGTTTCTCTGACAAATTACCACCTGAATTTCCGGGGGGGGGGAGGCGTGTTTATGTAATTTCTCAAGGATTTGCAGACAGACATTGCAAGCATGACCAAAAGACAACAGGCATCACTTCTTAGCCTTGATTGCCCTATTGTTGCTACATTGCTGCTACAAATACATTCAGAAGTAAAAGGGGAAGTGTTAAATGAGTTTCCCTTGAATCTTTTTTGCTGTATTTACATCTTTTGTGTTGTAGAATTAAATCTAGTGTATATTTACTTGCTGGAGTTCATAGCAGCTGACATTGTTCTGCATTCCATTGGGGACATGTCATTGAAAATAAATGATTTTTAGAAATGATTGCACTCAAACAGCAATATAAAATCAAAAGCTTAAGTTTATATAGCAGGGAAACAATGCTAAACTTTGTTAGGTAGTAACAGAAGGGAACTGTGGTTTTAGTAGATTACTAAAAGCATTCCACAGACAAAAAAACATTCCTATAAAATACAACATAAAGTTGTTTAGTAAAAACATAGCTTTTTACAATAAGCTTCTTAAGCTTGCTTTTATTTTCTGATGCAGTATGTATTTCGTAAGGTTTTTTCACAATTCCGTGAAATGGCTTAACATGTGGAAATAGTATATGTACTTTAATTGTATAAATTCTCATATATTAAAAATAGGATTTGACTTTACAGGAGACTGAAGTATTTAGCACAAATTTAAAACTGCATGAAACATTCACTTTTCTCAATGATTACAATTCTAAATAAGATTATTTTTCCATCTGGGATAGTGCTAAAAAAGAAGTTTAGATTGTTCTGTCAGGAGCTTAATTATTTTGTTGATTTTTATTTTGACAGGTACAGCTGTCTGAGAATAGGAAGCAATAGGAATCGGGGTCATATTTAATTTCAAATTATTCTCACTCCCATTTATTTAATCTGTCGAGAATACTTCTTCCCATTCAAAACATATATTTTCTTCTCATTAATTTAATGCTTTCTCCAGTACTACTGGAATGTAATAGATACTGGTAATTCACACTTGTCCATTTTAGATTTCTGGAAAAAAAATGGAAAACAATACTCACACAGGTAAAATTAAAAGCCATAAATATAGAAAGGATTAATAACAAAGTAATCAATTAACAAACAGTCCCAATTAGGGTAGTGTAACAGAACACTTAGAAGCATCTCCCCTACATAGTTCATCAGCTGTTTTGAATTATGTGACAAGTGGAGAATGCAGGCACAGTGAAGAAAGGGATGAGAAATGTAGTGAAGTGTTACAGGGTGACATGGTTGTTCAGTGAAGCAGATACACACTTTATCATTATTACTACTACTATTATTACTATTATTATTATTATCATCATCAACAACCTCCTTTTCATTTCAAATAAGCATGATGGTGAGTGTCTAGGAGATTTTTGAAAATTGTCATGTAATGGTACTGAGATCAACTGTAATGAAGTCTTTTGCCCTTGAGGGAGCTGCATATGTTGGAAGCCATGTATACATTTCCACATTTGTATATATGTTTCCATCACTGTACAAATTACATATTATTTAATTTCTGTTTCAGGTTCTAGAAAGGAGTAATTTGCAGCACAGGATCTTTTACACATTATACTCTAATCCCTTCATCCTTTCCAACCTACTCCTATTTTTCTAACTCTTGTTTCCAGCCATCCCTGTTTCCAGTTCTTACTTCTTTATCTTCCTAAGATCTTTGTGACATTTTCTGCCCTTTTTCAGCTCTTTACCTTCTTTTCACCCATTCATTGCATGTTGTTTTCCTGTACCTTTGTTCCCTATTAAAGCTGTGTCCTGTCATGTTTCCTGTCCTTTCAGTCTCTCCCTTTAGTTTCTTTCCCCCCTTTCCTCCCTTCATTTTTTTCTAAGCCAGCTAGATCCGATTATCTTTGCTCAAAAACTGCTCACAGACCTAATCTACAGTAACCTACTGATTCACTTTTCCGTTTCTCTATTTCATCCTTCTCTGTCTCCTCCCTGATTCAATTTCCAGTCCTATTTTCCTTACAGTCTACTACCATCCATTATTCGGATCCTTGCCCAGTCCTACCTCTTTCTCCTTTTTCTCTGTAGGCCCTATTTTTGCTTCTTCTGAATGAGAACTACAGTTTTTTCCTCTGTCCACGTAACCTTGATCTAGCTAAGGCAATACCTTCTCTTTGACTGGGTTGGCAGGCCCAGATCCAGCAAGTACTACTGCAGTCCAAAAGTACAGCTGGAGGGAAGGTGCTTCTCATTTGTGTGTTGAAATACAGCAAGCATGGACAAAGAATTTGGGGTTCTAGCCCTCCCATTTCTGCAGACTTCCATGTTTTCATGATTTTAACACCTTCCCTCAGTGGATTTTCAGAAGGATGACAAATGGATAGACATGGTGCCTGCCCACTCCCAAATCTCATGACAGCTGGCTTAATAGAAGCATAAGAGATGGGAGTGTGTCACTTTCAGTTTGGGAAACTATCTGGTCTGTTTAGAAAAAAAAAAAAATCAGTTTCAGGCACAAGTCAGTAAAGAAAATTTTAGAAAAACAGTTGAAGTTTACCCAAATTATAAATAGTTCAAATAATATTGTGAAATAGTGTCATGGGTTAACCCTGGTAGGCAGCTGAGCGCCACACAGCTGCTCACTCACCTCCCCTTCTACCCTCAGTGGAACAGGGGAAGAGAAAAGAGTAAAAGTCAAAAAAATCATGGGTTGAGATGAAAATAGTTTAATAACCAGAGGAAAAGTAGGGGAAGAAAGAAAGAAAAAAAACAAAACAAGTGCTGCAATTGCAATCACTCACTGTCTCCGATGGGTAGACCAATGATTAGCCAGTTCCCAAGCAGAAGATGGCTAACCTACCTAACTCCCTCCCCTCCTCCATTTTACTGCTGAGCATGACATTATATGGTATGGAATATCTCTTTGGTTAGTTTGGGTCATCTGCCTGGTTGTGTCCCCTCCTAACCTCATACGCACCCTTAATCTATTCACCGGGGCAGCAGAGTGAGAAACAGAGAAGGCCTTGACACTGTGTAAACATTCAGCAATAGCTAAAATAGTGCGTTATCAGCATTGTTTTGGTTACAAATCTAAAACACAGCACCATGTCAGCTATTATGAAGAATGTTAACTTCATCCATCCAGACCCAGTACAAATAAGTGATGAATTATAAAAGAAAACAAGTTAATGTATTATGTTTTATTAGAGAGATATGAATAAAACAAAAGAGCATTTTAACTTACAATGTTCAAGAACAATGAGGTTTAAGAACGATTTGGTAACAGGGTAAATAGTTTGCAAACTAAGATGAGAAGTTGCTAACAGTGAGGAGGACAGAAAGGAAATTTAAAAACTGAGAAGTTTATCAGAAGACTTCATTAAGGAAGTGAAGACTCATGGATAGTATAGGAAAAAGAATACGACAAGTTGTAGTCCACTGAACAATTATGAGATGCCTGAAACAGAGGCCAAAATAAAAAAAAAAGTCAGTAGAGAGTTCAAATAGAAGTTTTATAATATAAATGGCAGTCAAGAAATGGTATGTTGAAAAGGAGTCAAACGGAAGCTACAGAGGTGCCTGCAGTAGCAACAAAACAAAGTTACAAACAGATGATTGAATCATGATAAATATGGAGAATCAAAAATAACAGCAGTTTAGCTGTGTAGAGTGAATGAGAACTGATTTACTGATGGGAACTGACTGCAGAAAGAGCCATCATCCCACAAGCACTCATCAGTCAATCTGAGTAATGAGATGATGCCAGTGCCAACAGCAATAAAGAAAATTAATTCATTGGAGATGGTTATTTGGTAAAAGTTGATCCACTTGGATTTTGTTCTGTCTGGACGTCTATTTTTAAATGTTAAATGTTTTTACACAAAAAAACCCAACCCCTTTTCATTCTGTAAACTAGTTTTCATCATATATTTATTGGGAAATATGGGAATATTTCTTCCCAAATCATTATTCTTCTACAGAGTTCCAGAAGCTTTAAATCAGTTTTTCTTACAGCTTTTCATTAGGATCTATGCATTCAGCTCTCATTTCTCCAATGGGAAATGGGCTAGGAGTAATGTAAGTGCATTGGCAGGAAATATTGCACGGATATGCCTTGTGTTTATTCCCCTTTAATTTAAACCACCCTTACCTAGGAAGGCTCCTCTTTCTGCAGTAAATTTTTACCAGTAAAACAGTTTAAACTAGAAGCTTTTAATAATCACTCTTAACAGAGATATGTTCCCTTTACACATGTTTTATAGATCCCTGGAATGACCTCTTGCTATAAAAAGGCATCTTCTGTATTGCTCTCATCCTTTTAAATAACTATTGTGTGAAAGGTTAGCAAGTTGTAAAATAACACAAGTTTCCCTGGAACAAGTACATTATATTAGAGTTTCTTGCTTACTTAAGTCAAGAAGTCATCACAGAATCATAGAATGCTTTGGGTTGGAAGGGACCCCTAGAGGTCATCTAGTCCAACCCCCCTGCAGTGAGCAGGGACACTGCTAACTAGATCAGATTGCTCAGAGCCCCGTCCAACCTGGCCTTGAATGTTTCCAGGGATGGGGCCTCCACCACCTCTCTGGGCAACCTGTTCCAGTGTTTCACTACCCTCATTGTAAAGAATTTCTTCCTTATATCCAGCCTAAACCTACCCTGGTTTAGTTTAAAACCATTACCCCTTGTCCTGACACAGCTGTTCGTACTGAAAAGATTTTCCCCATCTTTCCTATAGGCCCCCTTTAGGTACTGAAAGGCCGCAATCAGGTCTCCCCACAGCCTTCTCTCTTCTCCAGGCTGAACAAGCCCAGCTCTCTCAGCCTGTCCTCATAGGAGAGGTGCTCCAGCCCTCAGATAATTTTTGTGGCCCTCCTCTGGATCCACTCCAACAGTTCCATGTCCTTCTTGTACTGAAGGCTCCAGAGATCATATGCATTTTAATTTCTTAGCACAACGTTTTTCCCAGATTCATTGAAATGTGTTAAATAAATTAATCCTGGTACTTGTCTTATCACTTGATCACAGCAAACAAACCTCTTAATATTTTGAATAGACCTTACTCTTTAGGAATGATGAACCCTGACCTTTTCCTTCCCCCCAGGGAACCTTGCAGTAGCCCTTCTGCCCACTCCGAAAAAGTTTTTATTCCATCAGTGTCTGCTCTGTTGTGTGTTTGCACTTTCACATAGAGCTGAGTTTATGTAAAACATGCATGCTACCATGGAGGTCTTTTATCCATATTGAGTTGAGCCCATCCACATAGTTAGAATTCTGTCATGGTTTAACCCCAGCCAGCAACTCAGCCCCACACAGCCACTGGTGGGATGGGCGAGAGAATAGGAAGAGTAAAAGTGAGAAAATTTGTGGGCTGAGATAAAGACAGCTTAATGGGCAAAGCAAAAGCCACACACTGAAGCAAAGCAAACCAAGGAATTCATTCACTACTTCCCATTGGCAGGGGGGCGGGGGCCCACGGAGATCACAGCAGGGCTCCATCACATGTAACAGTGACTTGGGAAGACAAACACCATCACTCCCAACATCCCCCCTCTTCCTTCTTCCCCCAGCTTTATATGCTGAGCACAATGTCATATGGTGTGGGATATCCCCTTGGTCAGTTGGGGTCAGCTGTCCCAGCTGTGCCCCGTCCCAGCTTCTTGTGCCCCCCCAGCCTCCTCATTGATGGGGTGGGGTGAGGAGCAGCAAAGGCCTTGAGTCTCTGTAACCCCTGCTCAGCAGTAACTGGCACATCCCTGTGCTATCAACGCTGTTTCCAGCACAAATCCAAAACATAGCCCCGTACTAGCTACTATGAGGAAAACTAACTATCCCAGCCAAAACCAGCACAAGTTGGTAATAAATAGCTAAGAAGCTATTTAATGTGTCACAGCTGTAAAGGACCACGTGAGTGCTTCTGATCTGTAGGTTAATTAAAACATTCTAAGGATGTTATAAGGTAATTTGCTTGATTTTTGCCTTGAGATTTAGGAAGGTAATCCCTTTCAGCTATGCTGCTTTGCTAATGAGAAGAGCTTACTGACTATATGACTATATTCAGTCTATCTCAGGCTATCATACAACTGGTTAATTCAGATCACTTTTTTCAAAGGCTTAAGCTCACTTACTGGATGGTGCCCTGAAGCAAATAAAGGGTCTCATGGGAATGGTTGTAATGTCTGGTCTCTGGACCATTGTCTTAACTTCCATGCAGCCATACACTCAGCTTAATTCTCTAGTGGAAAATGGGCTAGAAGTAATGTAAGTACAATGATATATTCAGCCCCAGCATTAAGTAATAATATTCTTCCTTCTCTGATGTACTCAAACTGTGTTCAAGTGCAGAGCAGTTACCCTGCACTTAAACATTTGCTGTGCAGACATTGAGGCTGGTAAGCACAGGCAGCCATTTCTTGTACTTAGTAACATGTGTAGGCTTGTCCTTACACAGCATAAGCACCGTGCTTGAAACAAGCCTTTTCTGTGTGACACCCTTTGCGCATTCTCCTAGTAAGCACAAGGAAATGGTACATACAGGCAAGGAAAAAAAAAAGAATACAGTATTCCGTGTACTAGCAAGAAGGTGAACACACAGCAAGAACCATGCCTAATAAAGATAACAAATTACTTCATTGCATCAGTGGAGCTGTCTGGACCAATGATGTGATTTTGTCTGGCAGGACTAAGGTAAGATGCAGGTCCATATTCCATGAAACAGTAGGTTTATGAATCGCTGGAGTCAAGTCAGGCCTCCAGACTTGCAAAATGGGTAAACCCAACACTACGCAACATGTAGGATACACATGCATGTACACACACGCAATTATTTTCTTGATAACATTAGAATCATAGAGTGGTTTAGGTTGGAAGGGACCTTTAATGATCATCTAGTTCCACCCCCCTCGCATGGGCAGGGACACCTTCCACTAGATTAGGTTACACAAAGCCCCATCCAACCTGACCTTGAACATTTGAAATGATGGGGAATCTACTTCTCTGGCAACCTGTCCAGTGTTTCACCACTCATATTAAAGAATTTACGTTGTCTTCTTTTACTTTATAGATTCTATCTAATCTAAATCTCCCCTCTTTTAGTTACCTCTTGTCCTGTCGCTACATGCCCTGGTAAAAGTGCCTCTCCAGCTTTCTTGTAGGCTCCCTTCAGGTACTGAAAGGCTGCTCTAAGGTTCCCCCAGGGCCTTTTCTTCTCCAGGCTGAACAACCCCAACTCTCTCAGCCTGTCCTCATAGGAGAGGTGCTCCAGCCCTCGGATCATTTTTTTTAGAACTCCAAACCTTTTTTTTGTGTTCAGCTTCCTGCCTAGTAAATGTATTTCAACTGATGTTTAGAATATCATCTATATTTACACAGTTCATTACTTGATGAGGACAGCAATAATTTTGAATTAAAAGGTGCAATTAATTTACAATATGTATTATTAATAGTGTTATTGATGGGGTATTATATTGTATTAGCTCTTAAGCTTACATGCATGTCCTTGCTTAAAATCTAGCTTTTTGAAGACTGCATTCCTGGAGAAGTTCTGTTATGAAGCTGTATTAACTATTAAAGGGAAAGAAGATCAAAACCTATTCTAACCAGACCATCAACTGCTAATATTAATGTTTATTTTGCAGTGTGGAAACTATTAATGATGGCAATTTCCACATTGTGGAGCTGCTAGCTATGGATCAGATTCTGTCTTTATCTATTGATGGAGGAAGCCCCAAGATAATTACCAATTTGTCCAAGCAATCCACTCTGAATTTTGATTCCCCGCTGTATGTAGGAGGTAAGAGTATCTTACTGCTTCTTACTAACAGTATCATAGCTAATTTACTCTGGTAACATGTTAATAAACAGAGAGTAAGAGACTCATTGAGGTAACACCATAAGATAAAGCTTCAGCAGTTAATCTCAATAGTTTCAATTTTAAAAAATGGTATGTCCTCAAACTGCACCTGTTGCTTTCTTATCAGTACAGGTATTTGATGTCCACTGTAAAATTCTGTAATTTTCTACTGTTATGTAGCTTTTTATTATACCGAAGAAGTGTGTTTAGCATTGTTTAGCTACCTGGAGATGCAGTAATGCCTATTCAGAAAGTGTAGAATGGTAGGATTCTGTTTCGATCCTTCAATCATTTTACATTTCTATTTCACTGTACATGTAACTGCAGGAAACGATAGCAAAGTATAAAGCCATGAAGTATAATTTCTGTCTGGACATCTTATTGCTTAAGGCTGATAGGAGTTATGACATTAGGTAAGAAGGGAACCAACTGGACAGTTGCCTCACAGTATGTGGCAGGGTTTGGGTTTTCTTGTTTTGAGAAGAAAGGATTGTTCCAGTAAAACTGGTAGTAGGTGATTGTGGAGTTAAACTGTTTGAATCACTTGTGATCATTTGCTGCATGTTACTCTGTAGAACTATGGATTCAAGCCCATTTTTTTAACCAGCAGTTTCTATTGAATTTCTGATGGGCCTGCATAACCTAAGTAAGAGTCAGAAACTTCAGCCACAACTTTGTGCCTTCTTACTGGTCTTGGTAGGAAGTCGAAGTTCTTAGTGATCAGCAATTCAGCATGGATTTTCAATACTGCTCATCTTCTACCAGTTTTCCTCTTCTACTTAGTTTAACCTTATACTCTTACAGGAGACACGTAAGGAGTCTCCTTCTGATCTGTTCTTTCTGTAAAAAGAATGCCTACTTTCTTATTTTGATTTGTGTCTGAGAGTAAGTTTTCAGACTTGAGCGTCTTGCCTCCCTACAAAAGATTATGCTACCAGTAGCACATTTGTGAGATGTCTATTGTCCGTAGCAAAGGTGCTATTTATCCTCTTTCTAAATATACAGAAAAGCTCAGGGTAGCTGCTTAATCTCTAATGGGAAAGAAAAACAGGAAGCTGCTTTGATGCAGATCAAGAATAGTCGATTTCTCCTGTTAAACCAGTATAACAAGTGCCTCAGTGACAAGTGATTGAGGGCTAAGTTGACTTTTGTCTCTGAAAATCCCCATTCTTCCCTTGAAACACTTCAGCTTTTCTGTCAAATATTTTCAGATTTTATCATTGCCTCCTTCCATCTAAGATGGGAAGAAGTACAAGACAGAATTTAACATTACTCATCACTCCCCACACCAGCATAAAAAAGAATTAAAATTATCAAATGTATGTGCTGCCTTTAAAATTGCTTCATATCATGAATTTTCAAAGGAAGATTGCCTTCTGGAAGCACATCTGCATTTTTTCATGTGTATCACTTCTCCAGTGTTGTTTACATAGTGTCCTATGCCACATTTATTGGAAGGAGAGATGGTCCTACATTCTAATAAGACACTGTGTTCTTGCTTACTTGTATTGTTAACATGGGTTTGTTATTTAATGACTGCTAAGGCCAATTTTACTTCTTGAAAACTGATCTTAGTACAGAATGATCCCCCTGTCTGTTATGGGCACCTTTTAATGACATGAGTCTAGACTGCCAACTATAAATATTTATTCTGTGCAGTGCTAACACTTACTTGTTGATTTGTGACATGTGGTTCTCCTCCTTGCTTCTTCACCTTGCAGATCTGTGTCTCATTTACAAGAATCATATTAATCTGCATCATCATTTTGAAGTATCAGAAGAAATAATTTTTGGAGAAGTAATCATTTCCTTCAGTAGTTTGATTCCTAAGAGCAGGAGTCTTTTTCATCCTAGTGCATAGAGAGGCCCTGTGTTACTTCTATTTCTATTCTTCACATTCACACAGACAATTATTTCCATTGTCATAGAAAATGCTGGTCCAAACCAAAATGAAAACCACGTTATTACAAAATAAAATGAAAAACAGTAGGTTGATATTCAGCTCCTAAACTTTTCTGTTCTTTATCTATGTTTATCTATTTATGATCTTTAAAATTCTTGAGACAGTTAATTTTCACTCTTGTATTTTTATATTACCCATCTTTTTTAGATTAATTCATTTTTTTCTGATCCAACTGTATCTAGAATTTTTAGAGAATTCGATCACACATTTCCATCAGTTAAGAACTCAAATTCTCACTAGGATTTTATGCAGTATTTTTATCTTTGCCAAAGTCTTAGTTTGACACCTATATCATCATGTAGCTTACACTTACTCTTATCACCTTCCTGTTAAAATGGCATTTCTGGTAAGCATCACCTCAGCTGGCAGGATGAAATTCAGACTTGACAGCAAGCCCTTGTATGGTTTTCTTGCTCTCTCTTTCTCTCTCTCTTTCCCCTCCCTTCTTCCCCCCCCCCCCCCAAATTTTTTTACCTTTTCCCTACTCTGTGGCTCTCTTGTGTGGTCAGAATACACACGCTACATATTTTTCAGTCTTTCTATAACAGATTTCAGTAAATCGTATTTAAAGTCCCTGGCTTTTTGTAAGAAGTCTTAAGGGACAATCTGTTTCGTCTCAAAAACTCTTCAAAGGGGTCACAGACTTCACTGATAGTTCATATTCTTCTCCCAGAAATTAGAGCATATTTTACTAGTTGAGAGTGGCACCTCATTTCATGGAAGTCCCTATTTCTGAGACAGGTAGGGCATCATCTGCTTTTCATTTGTGCCTGTTCCTGTTCCAACAGCTTCTGAATGACATACTCATTTTGACACCGTTATTGTATGACTGTTATTTAATAGGGGTCTTACTATTTGTCTCCTTGAGCAGTAATTTGGTGATTTACCTGTAGTCAGGTTCAGTGACCAAAAGCTTAAAGGGGGACAGGAACTACTTTCTTTCTTTTCAGAAAATAGGGCTGAAATGTTTGTCTGCATCATTTCGATGGCAGTTCTTTCCTAACTGATAAAGAACCTTTATCTGAAAATTATCTAAGAAATATTGCTAAAGAATATGAGCAGCTTTTGCACACACTTTGGCCTTCTAACACTTGGTAACTTGCTAGAAGGAGCAAAAAGTGTATAGGCTAGAAGCTTGTGTAGATGCTTGCATTGTGTTTCCAAACGTCTTCCATATTGGAAATCATAGACAAAAATTTCTCTGAATCACATGTGATATACCTCCTATTATCTGGTGTGATACATGCTTATAAGGTTCCCAGAAATCATATCTAAATTCCCTGACACAAGTATAACACCTAGTTTAGCATTGCATTGGTATACTTCATTTTATGCAGCTTTTACTTTTATAATGCATAAATTCAGTGCATCTGTTCTATTAGATACCTCAGACCATATGCCCAAACATTTGCAGAGTGTTGCTTTCAAAGGAGACATCAGGGTGAAGAGGTCTTGATGACTCTGCTTTGTCCCTGGATTTTGAGAATATGGCAAATAGTTTTGAGGAAATGGAAACTAATGACTGTTTGCAGTCTGAGTCCTCTAATAGTCCCAAGCCTATTTTACTTAACTGATAAGATCAAAAAATATTAGGGTCTTCAGCAGTATGGATGCAATATTGTTCATTTCTGTAATCACTGAAGCTTAGCACAAATGAAATTGCAATATCCTCTAAATGAAAGGTGGGTCTACTTCATTAGGTTGCGTAGCACTTCTGCATTACTCTTAGTTGTTCAGATAACTATACAAAACCATTAGAAATATCAGTTTACATGGCTAAGGAGCAACTATGCAGAACATTACCTCTTTCTGTGGTTGTTATCTTACTAAATACCAGAATGAAAATTGTTAATTTTGCCTATGAATAAACCTGTGCAGCTAATAAGCATATTTATTTTCAGGTAAACAGATCCTTTTCTAATGCTCAGTACACTTTGATTTCCTTTACTTATTAGTCTCAAGAGGTGTTTAGGCATTTATGTATTAATTATTTGAATGCAATATTTTAAGGACTAACTAATATAGGCCAATATGTGGGCAATAAAAAAGAAAAAAAATGCAGAGAGTAGGAATAGAAGAAACTTCATTTTTACAAGGAAACAATGTTTAATAGTAATGTTCCGTAACTGCTCACGACAGGATAACTGCATCACATATACCTCCTGCTCCCATTACACCTGTAACAATTATGGACTACAGTGGAGGAATTATTCTGAAAATAGTCAACATCAGGGGCATTTGCACTACCTAGAAATACCTACGCACAAGTACTTTGATGTTATCATTGACTATCTTTGTTTAAAACTGTAATGGCAAACTGAATGGCTTTGTTATTAATCTGTTTTTAAGACATGCTGAACAAAAATATTTCTGAAAGTAATGGAACCTCCTCCTGTTGAGCTTTTCTTTCCAAGAGTTTTCACTAGCAAAATTTCACATTTAAATGTGTATGCCACCTCCAAATTGATAAGCTGATGCTACTAAATTCTTCTAGATTTAGGTATCTTAGCAGCTTACAAAAAAACATGTATCAACTGCTAAATTTCAACAACTTTTGGTTTTCCAAGATTCAGAAACTATGTACTATCCTGGTCTTAATTGCACTAGATCAAAAGCAGGCATGCATCTGAACCTTTTCACAGTTGTGAGCATCCTGTATGAAGGCCTATATATATATATCTTTAGTTGGTCCTAGGGACTTACAGGTCTGGAGTTGGCTTATGTGCATGCTTGACAACCTGGACAATTTCCAAATACTAGATCATTGCTCATGGTTGTAGGCTGAATATCTAATAATAATTAATTAGGAAGAAATATTTCTTTAGAAATGTTTAAAAAATAGGGAAAATGGTATAGAAAATTGTACCAAAGATTACCGTTGACTATTTGCTATTACTAATTTCCTAGGCATGCCTGTGAAAAATAACATAGCAGCTTTACGCCAATCTCCAGGACAGAATGGCACCAGCTTCCATGGTTGCATCCGTAATCTGTATATCAACAGCGAGCTCCAGGACTTCAGAAACGTGCCACTGCAAGTGGGAATTCTGCCAGGTTGCGAGCCTTGTCATAAGAAAGTTTGTGTGCATGGAACATGCCATGCTACCAGCCAGTCAGGCTTTTCCTGTGAGTGTGAAGGAGGATGGACTGGACCCCTCTGTGATCAACAAACTAATGACCCGTGTCTTGGAAATAAGTATGTCCTTCCTCAAGACAGAACAGTAGTATAATATGCCTATAAGTCTCCTGTTATGTATATTTTTTTCATAGAAGTTCACACTTTTTTCAGCAAGAAACAAAATATCCTGGGCACGTAAAAGTGAAAACAGCATCCAGGTTATAATATATTCTTTCCATAAACTTAATGAGGAAATGTCCCCTGTTTAGGGGAGCAGATATACACATCTTACTGAAGTTCTGCCTAAAGCCTGGGATATGCTCTTGGGTATTTCTGTATGGGCTACTTCTGTAACAAGATACACTGATACAAATGCTGGTATGACATTTGGTACAAAAATTACCTAAAGAAGTTGCAAATGGAAAAAAAATATGTTTGCTTATTTATAATTGTATAGAATTATAAATTATTATTGCTATTATTATTATCTAATGTGTTTAAAAAACTTGATAGAATAGCCATATCTAATATTTTTATATTTTCACAGTACCCCAGGCTTTAGCAGGAAAACAGATTTCTACCTTTCTGGTAAACTTCTGTTTAAGTCCGTGTGTTCTAAATCTTTTTGCTGATTTGACTGGAACATTTTAGGTTGGGCATTTTATATATGCTTATAGAGAGGGTCATGTATATAATATGTGTAGAGAGACAGCAAAAGATAAGTATATATGTATATATGAGAGTATTGATATCTGTGCATATTCATCTTTTACATTTACTATAGAGACAGATTCAGGTTTTTTGGCTCATGGTCTCCCAGCACAAGAAGATCAGAAACTTCAGAAGTTCAAAGTTCTTCATGGTTTTATTGGTCCTGGGCAACAAGATGTCATTCTGTTTGCCATTACCGCTGTTTTTACTACAGTTTGGCAAACTTTTGGCTGCTCCTTTTTCTGAGCTCCGGCCTATATAACTTTTGAGGACCAGTGACCTGAATTTGCTAAGAGATTCTAAGATGATTTCCAACTCCCATATAAAGTGACTTTTAAGTGATTTTTTCACATAGCGCGTGTGGAGGATCTGAACCTTTAAGCTTTACACACCAGTTAGCATGCTTTTCAATGCCATTAGCATTGTTTACATTGGTTATGGACTCTTTCAGTACTCCTAAGTTTTGAACTCTTCCCAAAGCCACAGAAGTGAGGTTTTGAGTAATATCATTATAGCACTTCATTGTTATGGGTCTTTTTCTTACCTTGCCCTCTTTCACAGTAACTTAAGAGATAAAGGAAGTCACAGCAGGTTAAAAAATACAAATGCGATGTCCATCACATCCATTTTATACTTTAGGAGTCAAAAATAATGTGGAACTGTAACCATCAAATTCTATAAGAAAACCCAAAGAATTTCTCTGAAGAGTCCTTGAAAAATTGGATTCTGTATAGGTTCTTATAACTATACACATCAACGCCCAAACAGAGTGCTTTTTACAGTAAATTACAAAGCTTGGCAAGTATCAAATACAGGCAGTATCAAGGACAGACTGAGCACAACATTAGTATTTTGTTAGCTCTTGAAAGTATTGATTTTGTTTCAGCTGTACACAGTGCTGTGAGCTTTTCGGAAAGAAAGCCAAACCAAAATTGTTTATTTGGAGTGAAGGAGAGTTCTGTTTTTCTTTAGTTCCTGGGGAATTTATTCTGTATTTCTTGATTCATCTCTAAATCCTGTCTATTGGATAGATGCATTTTGTCCATCTAATACAGTATAGCATTCTACTTTCTCTGAGAAACAGACTTGTCACTGTCTCTGTTTTGAAAATGTAGGGGACCTTTTAGAGATCCCTGCACACCATGAAAAGGCTTAAGGTTTAGGTTTATTTTACCTAAATCTAGGTGCTTGAGTTAGGAATACAGTGACCAAAGCTTGTTCTCTAGTCAGTAAAGGAATAAACACATTTCTAAAAGGAATAAACACATTTCTAAAAGGAATAAACACATTTCTAAAAGGAATAAACACATTTCTAAAGAGTAAATTAGACCTCAAGTGGTCTAATCACCCTCTGGATAAGCTCATTTCTCTCCAATGTGGGGAGCTTATGGTAATTATACATCTAACTTGGGTGCCTGACATAGGTACCTAAAATTAGATAAGATGAAACTGTGCCCAAGAGTTTGCACTTAGCTTGATGTTCCTTTCAGTACAGTCTGAAGATGAAAATTAGGGCTTCAAAGAACAGGTGGAAGCAAAAGTATAAGAGTTGGCATTAGCTAAGATTTAATCATCTTCTAAGTCAAGCAGATCTTTACCAAAGATCCTGACGCAGATTGCTTTGATATCTAAAACCACCTGTATAGAATATGAGGTGATGTCAGTGTCACCTGAGTCACTTCATACATCAGATGTCCTAAAACTGGTTGTTTTGCAAGTGGTGAACAGATCAAATGCTAAACATAATGAAAACTAAACAAAATCTATCTGCCTTGTGGTACAGTCTAAGCCTTCAATTTTGAGTTGGTTAATCTAACAATCTTGGAATATCAGACTTCAACCACAGTAACAATTTGGAATTTTTTAGGGAACATAGTTGCTTCAAAAGTACAGACTCTTGCATAATAGGGAAGTTGGAGGTGCTTAAGCTATTAATTAAGTTTTATATTTGCAGTTTTTAATCCTGGATAAAACTGGATAAGTGAATGTAGGCTATGTGTTGTGCCTTCCATTTAAATATCCAGTGATGAGAATGACTTCCCATACTCTTTTTCCACCAAGGTACATCATGCCTAAGGCACTTGCACAGAATTAAGGGTACAGGTGGAGAATTGTAATGCAGCTTTCGCTGACGAGTGGAACTTGCTGATATTTGTAAACTGAAACAGTTTTAAAATAGTTAATGCAAGCGTGTCAAAGTTAGTGTTGTGCATTTTTTTTAATTTTGCCAAATTTCTTACTGTCCTGAAGGAGTAGAGTGCAAAGCAAAAAGTTTCCAGAAATACATATTGTTATCTACAAAACTTCAAAATGAGATGTTGTTCTTAACAGAACTCTTCTTTTACTATAAAATGCAATTTTGTATGATTTTTTTGCCATCTTCAAATTTTAATAAAGGATTTTATTTTAGATTGAATGGGATTTTTTTTTATCTAAGGTTTTAATTTATTTATTCATTTATTCATTTATTTATTTATTTATTTAAGTGGCTGACACAACCTACTAAGAGGTTGTGGGCTCAAGGATCTTGCAATACAGAAAGGAAAAACATTACAGAGGAGAAACATTAGGGAGGGTGACTGTGACCTTGAACGTCAGGTTTGCATCCCTCCCTACAGAGAAATCTTCACTGTGGTCACAGTATGTAGGTAGGAAACTTGTGTAGCAAGACAACAGTTAAAGAAAATAACTACTTCTAGGAAGAAAGTTATTGACCCTGTGCCACCAAATAAACAAAGGGCAGTGATTTTATTCCAAGTCATTGCTGATGTTTTCAGAAGATGAATTCTCCTAATTTTCAGCTAACACCTAGGAACAGGTAATTAAACATCCTCCTTTGGGAAACACTACCTCTCTCTCCAGAGAAGTAAGACCAGATCTGTGTTCCCATACTGTACATCAGATGCAGCAGTTAACCACAGCTTTTTTTGTTTAACCACAAGATTTGAGCCTGCCACAAATTTTTACCAAAGCTCAACCCAGAGCGTGGCTAGTTTAATCACTTGGGTGAGACTTGATAATGTGCAGTCTCATCTGGTGTGAGTGTCTGCATGCGTACTAGGTGAGTGCTGGTGGCTTTTGGTGAAGAGCTGCCTCATACATTAAACGACCACGCTGCTAGCAGGTGGCAATGCAGACTAATGTATGTGATGGGAGAGCACGTGTTCAGCTTTGAAACTGCCATTTATGGGTCAGAACGTTTTCAGTTAGGAAGTGTCTGATCTGGTTTTGTGCTGGGAGCCCTGTACTTCATGAGTGACAATATGGGGTTTTTTTAAATTATACAAGAACCAGAATTTCAGGTGAGTATCCTTTTTCTCTACTTAATTCTAGTGGATTATATTTGGGCTCGATTTTGCTGTGTTCTTCTCAAAAGCATGCTGAAAACTTAGGTAGCCAGGAAATGTTGGTTTTAATAACTGTGGCCTGTGAAAGTCTTCCATAACACATCTACAGTGGCTGTTTTCTGGTGAGACAGAGTTCTGCACTGCAGCTTGGTTTGTGTAAACCTGCATACCAATTATAAACCACTTCACTGCATCTCACTGAAAAAGTCCATTACAAACAAAAGCAATTTCTTCTGAGTACAGTCCAAAGTATTTGTAGTTAATGTTGCTTAGCCTGAACTTTGATGAATAATTTATTTTTATTCTCTTGGGCTTGTTTCCCCTGTAGATGTGTGCATGGTACCTGCTTGCCGATCAATGCGTTTTCATACAGTTGTAAATGCCTGCAGGGACATGGGGGAGTCCTCTGTGATGAAGAGGAAATGCTGTTTAACCCCTGCCAATCCATCAGGTGTAAACATGGCAAATGCAGGCTTTCAGGACTTGGGAAACCATATTGCGAATGCAGCAGCGGATACACGGGGGACAGCTGTGATAAAGGTAAAAAAAAAAAAAAATTAAAAATCATGTTGGTTTTTTTGGTCTTAGAAAAGAGATTTTTTTATTAAAACATGAACAGCCAAAAACATTACCAACTTTTTTTTCCCCACAATACACACATTTGTTGCTTTTTTTTTTACCATAAGAATTTATCTCAATGAGAGAAAAATCAAACTTTTCCCATGAATTTGTTTACATTTTGAGGATTTTTTTCATCAAATGTTTTGCTGTGAAAACATTTCTCTTTTTCACCTTTATTCAGAAACACATTTTTACTATATTTAACTATTACCTTTTACCTGCTGTATCTTTCTGTATTTATTGTTTCTCTGCCTTCTGCAACTGAGAAGCCAAATCCAATGATTCTGCTCCTAGTTTTATCACAAACTCTACTTTTGACCTCTCAGCTTCAACTGATTTATCACAGCGAATTATGCAGGTGAGATGGATGAAAACAGGATGACTGTTCCCCCTACCTTTTTCTTTTTCCTTTGTCTAT